ATCAGTTTTCTCACTGCTGCCCTGTACCTTTTCCCATTATAACAGTTTGCTTATGAGCACACACCAAGATTCAGGATGACCCCTGCAGCAGAATAAAATATTGCTTAGAATATTGTGTGGGATTGTTTTCCCTTTGGCATTCAAACTTCTAGCCAGGGAGGTCTGTGAGAGACTGAATTAGTGGTCCTGAGAAAACAAATGTCTGTTTTCCTAAGTTTCAAGTAAATTCATTATGGCCCTATGACTCATGTGGCTTTAATGGCTTTACTGGTTTATTTATTAGAGTGCCAAGAGGCAATTTATCTTGTTTACTTAACTCTCTAGTCACATGTTTCAGACTTAAATAAGATTCCATTATTTTAAAATACCTACTTTGAAAAGGGCTATTAAATAGTGGAATCTTCTATGAGATTATATTGCTCCAAATTTCATCCATCAAACCTTTGCCATGTTACCACAACATGCAGCTGTGATGACACAGATCACAGCCTTGTTCAGTCCTTTCACATCAAACATTACACAATCTACAGGTTCCATCAAAATACACACAGTGAGTGCTACAAATCCTTAACACCCTCAGGGACAGATTTTAGTGCAGACTCACCAAAACCCTAGAGATGTGAAAACAGACAAGCACCTTGTAAAGTCAATATTAACACTTTTCATCAGGAGACAATCTGACTCAAAATCTGGAAACAGCATCAAGGATTTAAATGGTTTTGTTAATTTTATTTTAGTTTTTTTTTTTTTTTTGCTTCCCAGCAGCAATACAGCAGATCATCAGCTAAGCTCCACAAATACAGCCTGACTCATGGGTGCAGCACAGCTGAGCCCAGTCACACAAGCAATCCCACAGAACATTTCCATGCTCCTGTACCATTTCTCACTCACTTACCTTGAAAACTTTTACCTTTATTGCCAAGTGTACTTGCTTATTTTGCATCCCAGGTTTATCAACCACAAAAGATATGTGATCATGTCACTATTTTATAGGGTTGAAGTGTCTAAAAAACTTAAATTTATTCATAGTATATAGTGTTACAAAAACAGGGGAACCCCATTTCTGCATTGTTTGCACTGTAGGTGACTTTAATCTGCTATTATGGGGGCTCTCTTCCACCACAAAAACCATAGCAAAGTATGCATAGGGGTAATAATGTTATAACATTCTCTAAATATTAATGAAGAGGAGAAAAAAAATCTCAGATTTCTAAACTATCTAGGCCCTTCAAATAAGTTTTGTTGCTTTCCTCCCCCCCACTAATGAACTGTATTATCTTTAGGGCCTTATCTTATTGCAGTGCACGGAAGGATTTTCTGTCTTTTCAGTGTCAAAGATTGCTTTATTTGAAAACAATGAAGAATGAAGTTTCTTTAAAAAAAAAAAACAACAAATTACAAGAACACCAAAATATTTAAAATGCACAATAATTTTCCAAAGCCAACCAGTTTAGATCCCTGGAGAGCTCATTCAGTTATTTTCAGTGAAACATGCTCAGAATATTCCAATTCTAATATGATGCAGAAGCTTCAAAAAGCATCTTGTTTTTACTGAATAAAATGCTTACAGGACACAATCATAAAAGAAATAAAACTTGCCACAATTTAAATGTCACACATGGTAAAACCAGAGGTAGCTTTTAGAAGTACTCATGTTGAACAGAATTTCTGAGTTACTTTTTGGTCAGAAAAGCTTGTGTGTAGCATGAAGCTAAAGGAAACTGAACCAATGAAAATTTTAAAGGGTCTATTCTAAGACTCCTCTTGTGAGAAAGTTCTTATAAGGAGATTAACTTATATAAAGGTTTTATTAACAGGCATTTAGAAAATATGGATGACTGTCATGCCTTCCAATCAGCATTAGAATAAAGGCAATTAGCTAAAGAACTTGTGTGATGGCTTGGTACAGCTTCCTTCTGGAAGCCTTTGTCAGATATGCAACTTAGCCAGGTTTTTAATATGGTACAAACTACTAAAAATTAGGATAAATGCATGGAAACTGGAGCTTGCAGCAAGCAGCATTGTGGACAAGGCTCACTGTGGTTACCTACTCTGTGTGAGGCAATATTCCTGGCACACTCCAACAGCTCCAAGAGCAGCTCTTGGGGGCTGCAGACATGGCAAATCTGCTTCTTGGCAGCCCTCGTGCAACCCTGAGATAGCATAAAAAGTGATGGGGCAGAACGAGAGGAGTTCTCGCATCAGTTAAGTTTCACAAAAAAATGCACCGTGACTGAACTGCTTAATGCTGGCACAAGATGATATTTTGTTCCCTTTTGATTTTCTTCTACACTTCCTTCCTAATCTGTTTCTGCTCCTTATTAATCTTTATTGCAAGGCATAAGCTCTGCTGAAATAAACAGTGGAAAATGTGAGGGGAAAAAAAAAACAAGAAAAAAAGTTTAAAGGCTGAAATCTGCTGAGTTTTGTTACTGTCATTCATATGAGAATTAAAATAAGTTCAGTCCATTCCAGAGTCCACTTTAGGAGACTTAACCTGCAGGGTTTGTTATCCCCAACTATACAGAAATTAGATTCTTAGGAAATTCCTTAAACACGAAAGTTAAATTACATATTCATATGTTTGGAAAGCTTTACTGCATCACACACACGAACTACATATTCACTCCATGAATCCCAGTGTGTCTTGTACTTCCAGAAAGTGTTTTGGTCTGATGAATAAATAAATGTGCAGTTTCTTTAATCTATGCAGCACCACTGGATGCATGCTGAAGCACCCCAGGAAGGCAGCACGTATTACAAATGTCAGGCTTTCCCTCAGACAAAGCACTGCCTTACCCTTCTGAAATAACTGAACAAACCCAGAGAGTTGAAATCCTGGTCCCTATTTCATTTATGACAACTGCTTCCCAGTTTCTCACCAGCTCACAGTGCAACTCATGCCTCAGTGTCTCATTAAGAATTTGTCTAAAAAGAAAGAGGGGAAAGCAGGCTAATGAAGTACCAAGGCTCCCTTGCTGCCTTTTAGCTGAAGCTCACCAGACACCCACCAGTAGGCATCTTCAGTTGCAGTTACATATGGCCAGTTATTCTGAGGGCTTTCTATGTGTGACTTCTGCATCCTCTAATGTTAAAAAGCAACAAAAAAACCCCAAAGTGTGAAAATAAGGAAACGGAGAGCTTGCCTGCAGTTCTCAACACAGCTCCTCTCTTTAGAGGGTGTCCAGGGGTGACAATCTCTAGTGACAGATGAGATACAGCACAGACAGGGGCTGTGTGTGTTTAAGTAGAGGTTTCTCAGGCAGTGACTGTCTCCTCCTTTGCAGAAAAGACTTTTTTGTGAGGCAGATTTGCTCAGTGAGAATAAAACCATGCTTAGTTCCACAAATTGAAAATTAATCATCATAATCAAGTCTCAGAGCCAGCCTCATCCCTTGGCACATTCCATCACCTCTGGGATTACACAACCACCCTTCTGCAAGTGTGAGAATTTCTCCTTCTTTTCTTCCTTTTCATCTGTGAAGCCAGAATGGAATAGAATTTTTTCACCACATGGAAGATTTGGTCTTTACCAATTTGAGCAATTTGATAAATTTTATGTTTAGCACAAATCCCATCTGTCACACGGAAGGGTACGAGCCACTTGCAGACCTGCTGAAAATAAAGATGAGTTAGTCCAAGAACATCCTGCACTGATGCTCAGTGATTTATCAGAAGTTAAAAAAAGAAAACAGCAACTCACCATATTTCATCTGTTTGACTTCAGAATTCTAACCTAAGCAGCTCATTCACTCAGGTACACCATGACAGGCAGGTAGGAAGAAAAAATTAGTTCATATCATAGGAAAACAAGGAATGTAAAGCAGGAATCCTGCTTCTAGGTGTTAATATAGCTTGGTATGACAGGCCAGGAGAGTTGCTGGGCATTTGAGTGAAACCAAAATCAACAATTACATGTCCAGAAGTGATACAGCCACAGTTAGCATGGTCAGCAGAGTGATCACAGTTTATAGAAGAAAAAAAAAAAATAGAAATGGAAAGAAAAGGCATCCACAAGAAATAAAAAAGTATTGACAAAACAGGCAGCATGAAGCTGCTCTGGTATTTTGTTTTTGTTGCAATTTACAAGTAAAAAAAAAGTCTTGTTCCTGACTCATTAGCACCATATCTCTAACCTAGTAGATGCTGTTTCTCTCTCTGTAACGAGACAACTTCCACAACCAACACTGTGCTGTGAGCAGCAGCAGCATCCCCTCCCTCTGACCAGAGCAGGAGCGATGGCCTGGGCTCCTCTGAGTGCTCCCAGCCAGGTATTTGAGAGCAGCAGTGCAGATGTGGCACGAGGTGCTGCTGCTCTCCCTGTGAGAGAACACTGACGGCAGTAGGGAGGGACAGCTCATACCCACAGCTCACAGGACACAGCGACACATGCTCCTTGCCTGCCAGCACCCAATCCCATGGATGTTCAAGCCCCATTCCCACAAATCCAAGTGCTTAGATGGGTTTTGAGCATTAGTTTGAAGGGAAGTTTTACAAGGGAACAGATTACCAGATGGTTTCAGATCACTTCTCTCAGAAGCACTGACACGGTCTGCAGCAGCCTGTGCCATTAACACACCTGGGTTACAGAGATTGTTTTCTAAGGCTCAGGAAAACTTCAATTATTATCCTTCCCTCCTTAAACAGTCAGTCAGCAGCCAAATGTATTGAGTGGAGAAGTATGGAGGGAAAAAAAGGCAAAAAGAACAGTCAGTTAAATCCAGGAAGCACTGCAGGGAGAGTTACTCCCTAACTGTCAGTATTACACAGCTGCATTTAGAACAAGATTTTCCTCTGCTGATTGCAGATTAGCCCAAACTCAGTAATAAAAGGGACTGGAGTCTTCTACCCTGAGATCAGATCCTTTCCAAACAAGACTTTTGACCCATTCCAGCACTAAACCCTCTTTTGTGGCAGATCCAGCCCAATATTTAAGCACCAGCCCACCCTACCTTCCAGCTGGGCATTTTAGTGAATGAACACTGTGTTCTGGGAAGCAATTTATTTAAAAACATTTATTTTAGGCAAAATTAAACAGACATTTGAGATTACATAGAAATACAGTTTCCAATTGGATCACATAAAAATTAAAAATGCACTGCTGTGTTGATTTAAGTATTTTTGTATGTATTGACCAGGTATATAAGATTTAACCATGCCATTTGCAGTCAACTATCATAAAAATCAGTAACGAAAAAGGTTCCTTAAAATGTGCAAATATTATCTTAGTGTTACCATTGATAATAAATGACCACTAAATAGATGCTTATTATGTAAAGCTTTTTAAAGTACAATAAAAATACAAATTCTATTTGTTAAAAAAGGCCATTGCTATGGCTACTAAACATCCTCATTATACAAATTCGAAAATACTATATGACAAACAAAATTATAAAGACTTTTCTTTATGAAACATATACTATTCTATTTGTTAGTGATTTCATATATTTTTAATATATATTTCTCTATAATACTCTATATGAATGATGAGCTCAGAATGAGAGAGAGGAAGATAAATGTAATGGAGGATGTTAAGGCCCCAATTCAGCAAGGTACCTGAGGATGTGTCAAAGCCAGCAAAGGAATAATCCCATTCTTTTAGAGGACTCCAAAGGCACATGCACAAGTACTTTGTTGAACAAGGCATAACAATACTCGGGATGAAATTGAAAAATATGGTTTTGGTGTAAACTGTGACTGTTAAGGACAAAACTATAAGTGTCAGCAAAAAGCCTCTCATTAAAAATAATCTGAAAATTTTGGGGCAGGGGGGGTTTCCACATTTGTATGTTTTGAAGGGAAATTACTAGAGGTTGGAAAGTTTTGAATTGAACTCATGACGATAATTTTCTGAGATCGGTTTAAGATGGTGTTTTATTGCTTATGAGAAAGATTAATGAAGAGTATGCATAGACATGTCAGCATTCATCTCACCAGCAGCTGAGAATTTTGGTGTGCAGGTATTTCTGTAACATGAACAACCAGTGGGTACAAAGGACTTACTTATAGTTGTTTCTCTGCAGAAAGCCTCAAAATTAAAGACATGGAACACTAAAGAAGAGAGTAAAAGAATTATACTCAACAGAGCCTGGCTATAAACACTCAGGTGTTGAAAGTAATTACAGAAGTGAGCCCAGTGCTGCTTATACACAAAATTACATAAGTTCCTAAGTAAATGCAGGACCATAATCTTCCTTTTAAGTTATGGCTAGCATGTAATGGACTCCAAGGTACATACTTTACACTTCAGCTATAAAAGATCAAAACAAAGGGCAGTTGCTTTGCCATCCTGCACTTTAGCAGTTCTTCTAGGCTCATTACGCACTAATTAGCAGACTAATAACTTGTTAGTTTCTAAAACATGAATGAAGGACCTAAAATCTGGATTGTATAAACCAATACAACATATGTACAGGATAGTAACCACACACAGTGATGGAAATCAATCACACTGCATCCAGATTTACTTTTGAAGCATCTAGTAATGGTTAGTATTTTATGCTTTTCTCACTGCAAATTGAATTTTTTGTAGCAGATATTAATAATTTTACTGCTTGGATATTAAATAATATCTTAAAAGCATAATTTCAAAATGCTGCCAGGTAAAGTATTATGTAGAATTCATGCCTGCACATTTGCAGAGAGAGACAGAGACAGAGGTATGAGTGACCTTTCTGAAGAACTTCTCCAAGCTAATAGTCATAAAGCATAGTAAATTCGGGCCAAAATGTGACAGAAAGAAACACAACAGCGTAATTTAATCCATAATCCATAAACAAATACAACTTTTTACATTTGTACAGGGAAAGACTGGAGATAAGTTGAATTTTTACAGAAGCAAGCCTCACAAGAGTATACAAGTTGAAAAAAGCAATTTTTGGCACATGGATAGTATCTGTGAGTACATGTTCAGAAATAAAAAAAAAACCCACTGTGGAGGAAATTCACATTGACTTTCTTGGCATCAGCACCTGCTGTCTAGTGGGTCAAGACAAAATACTGTGCCTTCAAGAGTTAATCCCATTTTGAACCCCTCCTGCAATGAAACAAGACATCATTAGTAAAGAGCCAAGTGAGTTCTGGAGGATTACATTCTTCTTGTAAAAACATTTAAATCCAAGCATATCTTTAGGCAGACAAACTGCAACGATACTTCAGCCTGAATTCACAAATATTTACATTATTTGGTCAGCCACTTTTTAGTAAGTCTTAGTGGTTAACTCATAAAAGATGTACACCATACAACAGCATAGCTACAGCATGTACATAAAGTGAAGAAAATATTATAGAACAAAAATATTCAATATTGTACATAGGTTGACAGAAATCCAAACAAGTCTGACTTGCACTATGTTGTTCCTGAGTAAAATTCAAGAAGATTTATATTGAAAAATGCAGGTATGACATGCACATAGTTACTGATACAAGGTGTCTCCTGTGTTCTGTGGTGCTGTAAGAGCAGTCCAACAAAAAGTGCTGACCACCCCACCTCAGAGAGCTGCTCTGAATTGCTCCCAGTGCAGTTAAATTGACAGGGCTTTACTGCCCACTGCCATCTGAGCTTCATGAAAAAGGCAAATAAAATCATACTTGCTCAACTGCAAATGAAAAAAGTGCACTTTAAAGGCATGTAACTCAGTAAAATAAAACTCAGTGGTATTTTGAAAGTGCAGTGAGTTGCTTTGAAATTTCAGACCAAAATTCCTGAGTTTGCTCACATTCATTTTATTAATAGAAACACAAAAAAGATTATAAGCTGGATGCTACCACCTCCTCTATGGAAAAGAAATTCATTCTACAAGTACTTTTTTTTGGTATACTATCATAGATGCTTGGCTTGCTAAAGGTACTTCATTCACACCAGTCCTAAAGTAACAACTGCACTTTTAATACAGGAAAACCACTGTTATTTTCATTTCTCTTTTTGCATTAAAAGAAGCTGAATAAGCGGCTGAAAAGCTGAATTTTGTGGCTTGAACCTCAAAAGTCACCTTGAAGTCAAGAAAATTTCAGTCTGCTGGGTGAAAGTACTTTGAAGGTTTAAGCAATTGGAAACGGGGCTCTGACTAGAAATGCCATGAGAACATCAACTCCAGTGGCAACAGTCACAGTGCTCTGTTCAGTGAGAGTGCTGATTGTGTGCTATGAAATCAATAACAGGTCCTTTCATCAAGAAAACATCTTGTAAATAAGATAAATCTTTTTGTAAAACTATCTGTGTGGGGATTAGGCACAAACTCAAGTCTTTCCCTCACATGCACAGCAGTACCTCAAGACCATACCTTTTGGGTTTAGAAGATAAATCCCACGTCAAACCAGCTTAATTTCAAACAAATTCAAATCACAGGCTAACACTTGAAAAGTGTATGAATATCTAATAACCCTGCCAGCTACTGCTATCAGGAGAATAATGTGGAAAAAGAGAACAAACCTCCTGGCAATAGTTACTAAATGGTCTGAGAATTTCCAAGTAAAAGCTGCATTTTCCTAAAGGCAGATCTATACCACGAGATGCTGAGCAAGTAGCACACTGTGGTGTAAACATTCCCCAACTGCGCTACCCAGTCTGCTCTACCTGGGTGACAGTGCTGCCAAGGCTCACTAGTGTATTTAAGATTTTTCCTTTTTTTTCCTCTCTGTATTTTCCAAAGGTTTAAAAGAAAGAACATACAACGCAGAAGATATTTCAAGTGAACAGTACGTGAAATTCCAAGTGAAACACATCCTGTTATAAACAGACAGTGTTCATTTATCCAAAGGGTAAATTAATTGATGTAACTGCAGTCAAAGGAGGACTGCTTACCCAGAAGGAGAATGCAGAGAATTAGCCCTAGAGTCTAATCTTACATTTTAAACCCTGCAGTTACAGTGTGCCTAGGATGCTCAAACTCTGACGTATCTGAAGGCTGTTTCCAGTTTTAAGCTTGTAAAGGGATACAGGAACAAGGAATTGTTGTTGTTTCAACCTGAGGATGATTGATGAGTTCCAACAGCAGAACATCACCAACAGCTGGTTTGACAAGGATAGAGACCTTCATCCTGAGGCAGCCAGAGCCTTCACTGAACATCCATCCCATTCCTGTCCACTTTTATTTTTATCTTATATTTACTGTTAAGTTTGCTGGTGTCTTAAGTAGCTTTACTTCCAATGCCGTTTCCAGCAAGTGAAGAGCAAATCAGATGATGCATTTTGGAAGTACACTCATCTCACTGCTCTTATGTTGAGCATGTCAGGTTTTTTCCACACAAACTGATATTTTGTCACTTAGCACTTTGCTTGTGTTTGCTATGACTTCACTTAGAACCTTGGCCTCCTTGGCCTTTCCTTCTGCAGCTTAACTCCAGCCACTTCCCCCCACCCCTGTTCAGTCCTTCTCAAGCTGTGATATTTTGCATTTAAAACAATTACATTTCCACATATTTGCAATGTGATCAATGCTAATCTGTTCTGAGGTTGCTACTCTTTATGGATCATAATAATTTAAAAAGTTTTTTAACTTTATGACCAAAATGAACTGTCTGTCCTAAAAGAAATCAGTGCTGTGGTTGCCAGGTGCTGTTCCTGAGAACAATAGCTCATGCACCTTCCTGTCTCTAACAGAGACATGGCATTTCCATGATCACTTCTGAGCCACACCAAACCCACGACCATCAATGTCAGATGCTGCACTTCCAAGCAGGCTCAAACTTCCATGACAACCACAAGGCCAAAGAGCCCAACAGCACAGAGAGGACATCAAAGCAATCCAAGTGGCTAGCTGGGCATTTCTGTCATTAAAGGAACGTAAAATCAAGATATTTTTCTCCTGGGTATTTAAGTGGAAGACATGAAGTGAATTTTCAGGGAATGCTGAAAAAGGCCACCCCGTGGTACTGGCCAGGAGAGGGAACAGAAGGGCTATGAAGTGTGCATCTATACTGTGCCTTGTTTTTCTGTGTTCGTGTTCTCCTCAAGGAGCTTTTTTACTTTAGAGGCATTTTTACAAAAGGACTGAGCAGTTTAGCTACTTACTAAGTAATGGTATTGTACTAAGGGATGTGATTGATGCCCTAAAGAGAGGAGCAAAGCTTGTTTCCACTCGAAACAGCTCAGAAACAATCCCTCTTCCAAAACCAGCCTTTTTTTTTGGAGTCAAGGATAAAAAGATATGAGCTATTCTGGTTAAAACCTGTAAGCAGTACAAGACAAAGAACTTGCACTTTATCAGAAGATAAATTTGCCAGAGTCAATCTTATGGCTCAGAAGTTCATTCACTTATCACTTCACAGTGACTTCCCTCAATGAGCTTAAGTCAGCACAAACCAAACGAAGCAATGAAAAATTTACATATCTCTGAGAAGAGCATTTAGAGGGGTGAGCATAACTCATTTGAGATGGAAAGATGCCAAGTCTACTGACTGCTTCAGGGCATGCAGGGAGAATGGCTTGCAGCTCCTGGAAGCTCTCTGATATGAACTACCTTGAGATTTTAATAAATTATAGCAGCTGCTGCTGGTGTGACTCATAATCCAGGGAAACTTCTCCTCACTACAAGATTTCTGGGAAAGTAGACATTCATTTTATTAATGTCTGGACATAGTCAAAATAAAGATGGAAATATGTTTCAGCATAAGGGTGCAGAGAAACAGGAGGTTGGACAGTCATCAGAGAGAGGCCTGAGCTATAAAAGTCACATCTCAGCAAATGTTTGAGTTTTAAGCTCTCCAAAAAGATCAACACAGATTGGACTGAGAAATGGAATAGAAAGCTTAACTGTGAAATTTGGATCCTCACTGAAGTTTAAAAATAAGAGTGCTCCCCCAGAGGCCAGGGAAATTTATCCGATCTCATTAAGTTCAGAATGCAGGATACAAAGGAAAAGCACCCACTACTCAAGAGTTTATTCTCCAGTGTCTCTTCTGTGCTGTGCTCTCTTCTCCCACAAAGAAATTGTTCCCAAAATCACAAGGCCACATCAGAGCAGCTTTTCTGCACACGGGGTGTGTGTGCTGAGGCACCTCACATGTTCCTCACAAGAAACAGGCTAAGAGAGTCTGGATTGGGCTGCTCCAGTCAGGTCGACACATTCTCACTGCAGGCTGAGCTCTACTGAGCTCTACTCAACACCATGGTGCAGGAAGTTTATACATGGAGCTATTTGCTAGGTGTCTGTAAAAAACTTACCTTCACAGATTTAATGGAATACATAATTACAGAAATCCAGGCTGTGCTTCCATAATGCAAAGATAACAAATTCATTCACTGCATTTCAGAAAAGAAGAGAGGCCCACACTTCTCTTCCATGTTTCTCATTGTTGGATTTCCAGAGCATGTTACATGTTCCGTGCTCTCACCTTCCTCAAAGGCTGTGCCTAAGCACAGCAGCTTCTGCTCCTTGAAAAGTTTTAAATCACTATGTCCAAACAAAGACTTGCTCTCAAACGTGGTTGTACTAACACAATCTCTGTACTAAAGGTTTTGCTTAAACCATTTCACTAGTGACAATCTGATAATGACAACTGGAGATTTCACAAGTACACATGGAAAACAAACAGCAGCGAAAACAAATTCTTAGTATTAGCACCTGGCAAGACAGAGTAAAGAAAAAAACCATCAGCTGTCTCTAACTTAGAGATTGCAGGCCCCAAAAAACCAAAATGGCCCTGACTCAGAGTTCTATACACAAACCATAAATCTTGGAATTTTTATACATAAACAAATATACATAAAAATAGAAACACAAGACAAACACATGCACATTTCAATTGTAAATGCTTTAAATACCATTATTAAAATATGATATACCAACCATCGCTGACGCTGCGCACCCAGGAAAGCACAAGAAGATAAAAGAGACATTAGGAAAAACATGTTTCAATCTGTATTTTGCACCAATCACACAGTAAAATCACTTCCCACAGTGTTTGCTTTGGCTCAGGCTAGAATATGGGGGTTTTTCATGCCCCTGCAGGTGTACACTTATTCTCAGCTGGATCATAAATGTCAAGTTTTGTGCCTACATAAAGGCCCACTAATTAATTTTCAGTGAATAGTTGATATGCTGGGGGTGAGTGCCTTTCTTCACAACAGGACACAGTAACACCCTAATGTTTGGGGGTTTTGTTGTTGATTGGTTGTCTCCTTTTTTTAGATCAAGAAAATACAAACAATGATGGAAGATTTTAATTTCATGACTTCAAACATCTTCAAACATTTACTATTTAAGTCCCTGAAGTTTTATGAGGTGACAACACTCTGTACTGGTATAGGCAAACAATTCCAAATATTGTCAAAATATTACCTGTATAGGAACTCTTAATATGTGACATTTAAATATTGACATACCATTATTAGTGGTAACCACAGTTGCTACAATTTATTTTTCCCTAAAACAGTGGAAATGTTGGTAATATATCAATGGGAGGTGCTGTAAGATTTGGGGTTTGTGTTCAAGGGCTTGGTAGCAATGTTATGGGATTCACAAAACACCAGCATGTTGTTGGAATTGCAAAGAGGACAGTTTTGGCTTTTAGCTGCTGTTTAAAATTATACAGGGGACCAAGAAGCTAAATTTCTTACTTCACTGTAAGTAGAGTTTGTCAGTGGAACCAACCTGAACTGACAAAGAAAAGAAAATGTACTTAGGAAAATTAAATGGTATTTCAATTTATTTAATCTATTTTAAAAAGTCTCTGCTGCTCTCTAGGCAGGAGACAGGAACAGAAGGAGCCCGAGAGCAAATGCTCTTGAACTTTGTGGGCTCCTAAGAGACAAGAGGGCTGGAAACCTTGGGAATACTTTCTGCTGAGGAGCCAGGATCCTAGAAATTCAAGTTTCCATTATTTCCAGCCTTTTCTTTTGCTGGCAGGCTGCTTAAAAAATACTAGAGATAAGCTGGCAAGAAACTAGAAGTTTTGAAAGCCTGACTGCAGAGCATCATTTGTTCCAAAACTTGAGGACTTTCTCCTAGAATTGTTTCACAACTGGGTCAATAACTGAATGGACAATGTTGAGTGTTTCAGACTCAACAAACATTTTATGATAAAAACACAACAGCTCAGAATTCTTGAATCAATTCTCAAGAGTTTAATTGCTCCAGGGTGCTACAGAGCTGTTTTCAAAGGCAGCAAAAAATTGCCATGGCCTCAGAAGCACCTGTCTGCCTAATGCTGTGAGAAACCAAAGTGATGCCATTGAGGAGGGTACATTGAGATGGCTGATGGTGGGATCTGGAGGGCTCTTGGCTCAGCTCTCTTTTTCAGCTCTCTCAGTCCCTTCCCAGGTAACAGCTCCCAAACCATTTTGGTTACACTGCTGAGAAACCCTTCACTAGTGTAGCTGACTGTCTTGGTACCAGGTAGGGCTCTTGAGGCAAACCCAAACTCCAGCTCAAAGACCAGGAGATAAACTCACAGAAGGAATAGTCAGAAATAGGGGTTTGTGCGTGCATTAGTGTGTGCTTTGTGGAACACATTTTCAGAATACAGTAAGCATGTATTTCAAGAATAGGCACACAGCCATCAAAACCCACATAAGACAGTAGTTACCTGCATCTCATCTAGTTTGGACTGAATGTCTGGAGGGAAATCTCCTGCTCCACAGCTAAAAGGGTCAAAAGGTTCTGCTCCAAAAAGGTCTCTCTCTGAAATGACAGAAAAGTGAGTCACTGGGAGAACAGGTATGAGCTACAACAACAGCGCTCCGGAAAAGCCACCTTACATCTCCTCCTGAGCTGAGCAACAGCATCAGCTACAACACTCATCAACCACAACTTTTAACATCCCAGTGTGCAAGCCAGCTCTTGGGCAGTTTCCCAAACCTTAATACTCAAATATTTTTCCAAGAACACCACTGGACTTCTGGTTTAAGCCTTTCTTTATCTTCCTTTAATGCTTGTGCCTTCTCGAGATGCAGTGAGAAGTTGCTGCTTTGGAAGAGGGCATCATGTACTGACATGTGCTCTGGAGCCTGTGTGTAGAAGGAGTTTCAAAAATGAAGAGGAAGCAACTGGACATGAGTTGCCAAATTTCATTTCTACATTATGTCAACAACAAATTGCTAATCAATTAATCTTCATATCTCCTGTCTGCCACTCCTCAGGTTAAGGATGTTTCTGTGAGACATGCAAATACTCTTATTCAGGCAAGGCAAGGCCTTTGTTTGATCCAGTTCCTCAGTGAACAACTAGCAGTAATTAAAACTAAAAGCCATCTGAGTTTTAAAATCTTTGAGAAGATCACATTAAGAAAGAAACACTATTTAAAAAAAAAAAAAAAAAAAAACCAAAAACCACAACAGTTCCATGAATTGTCATGCTAAAACTCCACTAAATTTGGGTGCGTAAATAGATTGATAGCAAATTTTCACTTTCTTAATACCAATTTTTTCATCTTTTCTTAACTGCAGTTTCCATTCTAGAGGTCAAAGGGAGGGGAATGTTTGTTTGTTTGTTTGTTTTTTTTGTCTGGGTAAGAAGAGGGCCCTCCAATACAATTGGGTTTCTTTCTGATATTAGACCAGTATAGTTCTTTATATTTGCCTGATCAAATATTTTTTGCTTTTTCAGGTTTTGGGTGGTTTTCTCTCCTTCTTAGTCATAGATTTTTCTTTCCTACATTTAAAGGCTCCACCTTTAGATACTTTTCCCATCTCACATTGGATTAAACTACAGCAGTTAAAAAAAAAATTGCTAACCCAACCCCACTGACTGCAGAATTTACAGAACCAAGTTCCTACAGCCTTGTCACTGGTGAGAAGAAAACCAGAATCATGGGGACATATCCTCTCTCCTAACTTTCATGGCTGCCTAGCAAGAAACCTGACAGGCACTCTACCTGCCTTGAAACAATTTTAGTTTTAGAGCATCACAGTAAGGGGGGCAATAGTAACCCTGAAGTGACTGGACAGTCAAGTACAAAATTCACCCTTAACACCTGAGACCTGGGTGACAATTAACTGCTGGACCCACTCCCCTCATTGCAGTGCTCCCAGTGCCATTATCAGTGGTGCAGCACCTGCTACAGCTGCACAGCTGGTTTGATTTTGGCATCCTTAGAGGCAGAATTTTACACCTGTGTTCTCTGGGCTCTTCAACAGTTATTGTGCATATCAGTCTGTCAGGTCTTTGCCCTTATCAATTAGGTGTTATCAGGCTGCACAGCAGGCATTTTAAATAACCGGCAACTGCCATCATTTGCTCCCACAATAAAGTACAGAAATTCCCATTATAAAGTACAGAAACTTGAGTAGAACTTGATTGATTACATATTTAAAAAACTGTGGCTAAGCAGCCACAAACTGTCACACGGGACCAGGAGATGGCCCAGATAAGAGAGCCTTATTCCAAGAGTCCACTTGAGCCAAGAAGAAATCCAGTCTTTCCTGGCAAAGGCAGACCACCTGCGTGCAAGAGAGACTTTAACTCGGATAATCTAATGTAAAAATTAGGTTCTCCCTCATCCTTTGCCTCTTTCACAGCCAAAATGGGTCTGCTCCAGTGTAACCAGTGTCCTCAAATGCTCTGATGCTCCTAGCAAATGACCTTCAGATGTGTAGCAGCTCTGACTTGCAATCTAACCTCCACTGGACAAAAAAGTGATTCTGCTCTATAACCCTCAACAGTCTATGGTTCATTATGTAGGTCCATTTTCTTTCCTTTTACCTTTAAAAGGAGCTGACAGCTTTCTCTGTGGTCAGACAACTGAAAGCAGACAGTTCCAACACCAGGGCTTAGCAAACATTCTATGGATGTATTTAGGAAAAAACGGTGAAGGACAAAACTCCTGCATGTAATTTGTACTGAATTATGACTTCTGACTATTTTTAAAAGCAAGTATTTTGTACACTATTACGGCTATTATCTCATTCATGCCTTATTGGGCTTTTATCAGTGAAAGCCCTTTTGAGCTCATTAGCAGGAGAACAGCACAAGTTTTAACTCCTTTAATGACATTCCTTCCTTTAATTTGAAAGATTTTTGAATTTATACAGTATACAAGGCAGAATTTAAAACCAGAGTGTGACTTATTCCAAGTGACAGAGCCTAGTAAGCCCTGCACAGAATCAAATTCAAAATGAAGAATCATTACCTAGCTGGGTTTCTGTGCAAAGCTATTACTTGGGGAATTATCTCTATCATAACTTGCTATCCATTCCACAACTGCTTTTCTGCATTTAAAGTTTGAGTGTTATAAGAGAGGCTGCATTGCTAAGAGTCAGGGAGGGACAAAGTTCCCTCATGGAATATTTTCAGTAGCCCTGTCATCATTTGCCTCCAGAACAAGAGCTGAAGAACATGTGTGAAATGGAGAAATGTGCAGATTTCATCCCTGCAGGACTGCACTATTCCTTGGGATATCCATAAGCTTATCCACCAGTGTTCACTACACTCATGATGGAGGGGGGGCTCCTTTTTAGCACAGATGGGATTAATTGGTAACTTTTTTTTTTTTCAGTGCATTTTTATTTTTATTTGCAGGAAAATTAGCTATAACAAGAATATCTTGCCTGGCACACTCCCCAAAATTACTGTAGCATACACAGGCATTTCTTTCTCCAATAAACAGCAACAAGGAAGCCTTTGAAAATTATCCTTTCAAACAGTACAAATAATTTCCCTCCCCTTTCTCATTTCTTTCTGGATGGAAATAAATTCACAGGCTGCAAAATTGACCCACAAATTCAAAAGCCATGAAATGTTGATGTTTTAGATCCTCAGCTCAAACCACAGGATAACATGAACAAGTAATACATTCTGGGACCTGACATTCAGGAGAACAAACACATAATACTGGAGAATAGCAACCTGCACTCTAAGATAAATTCAAAATTAGCTATTACTAAGGAAAAATACAAATATTTGGCTTTTCTGCTGCACTTCACATCCCAATCTCTGCCTCAGCTCTCATCCAGGCACACAGCTATGCTGATATATGCTTTGCCCAGATAGAGCAGCTGTGATGACAAAAATGAATCACACTGAGAGACAAGCACCCAAAGAAATATTTGGAATGAACTGTGACAGGGAAATCCAGAAAGCCTTTCATTTAGCTGCAGGCTACTCCATATTTTTTCCTTTGGAAATTATTACAGCCATTATTCTGACAAAATAATCTTAAATATCTGCAGAAAAAGAGCACCTTGGAGCAGATTTCTGCATCTGCCCGTTGTGACCTTGGATTGTCCATGATGCATTTGTGTGAAATAGATATTAAAAAACTCAACAGAGGATAATCCTCTACAGTTCTTTTCTGAGATATGAAAATAATGCTGTGCCAATAAGAAACATAAGTTAATTCCTCCTTCAATGAAATAAAATTAATGAACTATCTGACCATTCAGATAACTTAGAAGAACATTTACAACTCCTTACTCCATGAGGAAGAAGCAGCATGCAATCTCTAGCATTGCATTTTTGGTTGCATTTCCCTATGTTGCAATCATTACCTGAAGAGTCAGCATGCATTTGACCATTCTGCAACCTCCTGTACAAAAATTATGCCATTTTCTCCTTTAAATAGGTAAACCCCATTTGTTTGCTATTGCTCATATAGCCAGTAGTGAGCAGACATTTGCTGAGTAGCCCTGTTGGAACATTGCTGAATATGAACTCAAAATCTCAAAATTTAATTCATTTTTTAAAGCCTAAAAGCTCTCTTTCAAAAAAAAAAAAAGAAAAAAAAGAAAAAAGTTAAAAAGGTCACAGTTCTGCTCTAGTATTAAAAGGTGGGGTATCTTGAACTACATGCTGTGAGCTTGGCAAAGCCAGAGGTACCATTTATCACTCCACAATTGTTTTTTCCTGTGAAATTACCAAGGGAAGAACTGGTAAGAAAAATTCTAACGCTGGGCATGTGTCATTATGGGGAGCTGAACTGTCATTCTGATCCAGTAATCACCTATGGAACTATTCCTTGGAGAAATGCAAAGTGCTTGGTATTGTTGCAGGTGCCCAGGCCTTTCTGGGTTATTTTTGGCTGGTTTCTCAAACTGGCCAGTGGATGAGTAAGATGAACTTTGGCTTTTAAAAGCACATTTTGCTTGAGCAGCACAAGTGCCCTTCCTGGGTAACAGGCCCCACTTAAGCAAAAGGAATAAATGAGGTAATACTAACAAATAGATGGCAAACCCTCATTATTCTCCTTCTTTACTACTGAATGTGAGAAAGGTGAAAGTTACAAAATTATAAAATCCAACAATCACCCTGTAATTTCACCAAATCAGCTCTGCTTGAGTGCAGTGATAAAGAAAGCAGAGGCAGGAAGAGAAAAAGGTGATCTCAGAAAATGGAGACTCCAAACTTTGGCTCCTTTTGGTTGCCAGCCCTCTGACTTGTACTGGAGAAAGAAATGCCACCTGGTACTGGCAGCAGTGACACCACAAAGCAGTGCATTACTGCACATTGCTACAGTAAGGGGACATTGCACAGCCTGAACGAGCTTATGGGAGTTCAACTTTCTCATTTGGGACAGTAAAGCCCTTGTTTGATGATAAAATATTCCTCTCCTGTTTCACTGACACTCTGAAACCTGCCAAAAAGCATTAATAGCTGATGAAGACAGTAATTTTCAACACAGAGCACCATGACACAGACTGAAAGAGCAGAGATCAAAAGTATAAAGACCATGATGGCTTTGGAACCTCTCTCTGAAGTGATGTCTCTGAACTACATCATCTCAGCTGAAGGCAAATCTGTGAAGTGTAGAAGCAGCAACTACTTTAAACAATAGATATCACTGTTATTAAGCAACTCTTTTTTTTTTTTTTTTTTTTTTTTTTAATATTACAAAACCTGCTGCCTAAACAATTACCAATCCCATATAGATGGAATTTTCAAGATCCCTCAAGATCCTTCAATATCTGAGTGTGGGCTCTCACAAGATTTCTATGGAACTGGGCCACAATTTCAATGGAACTGATGTAGGACAATAGATAAAAAATAAGATCTTGACCTATAATTCAATTCAAGTTCAGTTGCCATTCTTGAAGCTGTAAATGCACATTTAGATCTATTTTATGGCATTGCCTGTAGTTTCAGAGAAGCAATCTTTCAATTATTTATTGCAATGACATAATTCTCTCAATAGAGCAGATCTATTCTAATATTCTATTAGAATATTCAAGTATTCTTTTAAATTATATGAAAATAGTTACTACTATTTTCATATAATTTAAAATATAGCTATGAGTATAACTGACAGATGTAAAATTCTGTCAGTATACTTTCTGAGAATCCTACAGAAATTAATTAATAATTTTAACATATGCTCTTTAAAAAACCCAGGGTTCCTTATTGAATTAAGAGTCTGAACATTTACTTTTTCTTTAGAAGGTGGCAGACATTCTGAGCAATGGAACCAAACAGTACATCACACATGGGCTCAGGGAGGGAAGACATTCACTGACTGAAGTTACAAAATGTATTTTTCTTTTTGTGCACAGCTCCCATTCACAGCTGAAAATTCTACATCCTAGAGGCATGCCCCAAAGCAGCACAATCTCCTCAAATGTGTTCCATATGGTGGCAGGCAGTAACATTAATGTCCCTTATCCACTCTAAAATAGGCGTGAAGGAAGATACGAACACAGACCCATATTTCCACAACCTCTAACATCACTGGTGCATGCCCCACTCTTCTCTCCCTCAAGGGATTTCCAAAGCTTTTAAAAAGACTTTCTGGACTCCAAAAAGATTTCCAGTGAATTCAAGAACCTTACCCTAGGTGCTTTTGACCCTTTGAAAAATAAAATTGCTGTTGTTGATAACCTTCTGAAGACCTTTTAGGAATGGTTGGAGATCTGAAGAGGTTCATCAACTACAACCAAACAAAGCTGTGCATGATATGAAAAGTAGTGTTGAAAACAGCATTCCAGGTCTCTTTGAGAGGTTTCTTCAGCTCTCCCTTGAGCATCACCATCACCATACTTACTCCACCTGCTGCCTTCCCCAGAAATGCAGGCTCTAGGTGCTAGAACCGTGGCTTGGCAAGGAAAGAATTAACAGGAAGTAAAAGTATTCCTTGAAGTACAGAAAAGAGACTGTAAAAGAAAAGCCAAGTTAAAACCCCCAACCCAACTCCTTCCAAGTGTATATGTCACAGTTTCACAGTAAGTTTGTTTATAATGCTACTTGGCAGCAACATCAAGGATGTTGGGAGGATGGTATAAAGATGAAACGGCATCAGTGAACGTGATTTACAAAAACTGCATTTGGCTTTTCATGCAAAACGTACGTAAAACTTTAAAGATGCTTTATGAAAAAAATAATGTAAGCAAAAAGTAGGTCAGTTGTTACAAAACTTACTGATCTCTGTAGATCTACTGGGTACTGGAGGAGGCTGTGTACCATTGCGAGTAGGTGTTGTTGACTGAGGGGATATGGGAGAAAAGGGAACCATATCAAAGATGTCAGTGGAGGGTGATTTAGGTGTCACACTGCCTGCCTACAATAAGGACAATAAATATTAGGGCAATGTTTCACACGAAAAAGATCACAATACTGAATTCTTCAGCATGCAGATAAGAGTCACATTTTGAAAAGAAAAGTTAAAAACAACCATCAGCATGCAAACCCCAGCTACTAACACCAAGCAAATGGCATTTGCAGTACAGACTGACACATGCTAACACCCCCCAGTACAAAAGCAGCATTGTAATTTTTCCATTTTCAGTGGAAAATGTATCCCCGTTACACCTGACACAGCTGTGACAAGCAGCTCTCTTGCAAACATATGAGCACAGACACCTTCATGAGACCCAGCTGAGGTAATATGGCAACAACAGTGTGCTCTGCTCTGGACAGCACAGAACCAAGTTCAAAGATTCAACCCCAGTGTTTTTGGTTTACTAATTCTTCTTTACATGATCTCTTATTTGGCAGCTTAGAAAAACTGGTATGATAAAAACTTAAATGTGTTTTTCCACGAGTAATAATCTATACATAATATACTGAATATTAATATCCAAAATAAACCTTTTGTCCTCAAAGGTAAAAGTGAAGAGATTTCATTCAAAAGGCACTGGAATTTGGAAGGGTTAAAAAAAAAAAATACTGGGCAAGCAAGAAACCCCAAACCCACCAATTACTATAGTTCTACAGCCATATTTGGTTTTGAATGGTTCATTCCTCCTGCCACCAGTCCACTACTTCAGGGCACAAGTGAGGCACAGTCAAGTTAAAATATACTGAACACTGAAGACAGAGGATGAAATAGATTAAAACTGAGACTGACAAGCTGAAGGCATGACTAGTTTGCATGTTCATGTTATTGCTGAGACAATACAGAAACCCCCACACCCTGGGTATTAGAAAGGCCAGCCAGGCACAGCAGGAGCCTGCAGCTTTGAAACAAGATTCAGTTTGCACAAACTATCCATGCAGGAATTTTGAAGCACAAGTTAAGTTAGTCACATGGATCCTCTAATTCAGAATACACAAATATGATAACCTGGCAAGCAGGTAATCCTTAGCACTGCTTGTCCATGAGAGTGCCATGGATAAACCCGTATTTTGGAATGCTGCTTTCTTCAGTGCCTGTGCTGCAGACCTGCAGCTGCCCTGGGACACTCACATCACAGATCCCTAAGTCAAGTCTACAGGTGGCCCTGAACCACGCCTATTTCTCTCTGGAAGTTCTCTGCACTGGCTGCTGAGAAGCAATATTGAGCCACAGCCTTCCTCTGAATGCACTGTTAAAAGAGGAAAAAACCACAGGGCTCTCAAGTCCTACATGTCCTATTTCTTGGAAGTTCTGTGATTCTTAGGAGTTTTGAATTTATATTTTAAATTTGGATTAATATTTTAAAATTGGATTAAGAGAGTCTGTAACTGTTCAATATCTAAAACAACTTGGGGTATTTATTCCCAGATATACAGAAGCATAGCAAGAAAAAAAATCTACATTTTACATGCTGCTTTTATTTTTTGCCTTTTTAAAAAAATATTTTCTCAGTCATTGCTACTCCCAATCATGACCATAGGTGAATCAACTTCATAAAAAACAGTTTTCAAGATCCAGAACTGTTACTGTCCTCAACTTGAGTTACTATTGGGGTTCCAAAGATCATGTGTTGTGAAAAGATTTCAGTGCAGAGTTCAGACGCCACAGGCTCCTGTTAGTGTCCACGGCCCGTGCACTAACCCTGCAGAGAACCAGGACAATCTAAGTCTGGCAGAATGCTGGATGTCATCTGCTCCCACTCCAAGCAGGGCAATGGATGTGCTGGACCCAAAATATATACAATAAAGAAGCACAGCCCTTCCTTCATCTGAAATTGCTCTTATTGTAGACAGGCTTTTGTTGGCATCAGGAAGGTGGGATCAGGTTTGAGGCATAAATAAATGCTTACATCAACCTCCATTTCCACCAACACCCATGGGCAATCCTAGAATGACCTGGAGATCACATGTGCTAATGGAGAATCTTATTATTTGCTACATGATTATGGTTATCTAGAAGACAGATAAACAGAACTTCCATTTAGTTATAAATGTGCCTTTTAGGCAAAAAAAGAAAACCCAAACTTCAGACTCATTTTTCAGTTACATTCAATTTTGTTGAAGTCACTTACTGGCCATTTTGATTCTACTGATATGGTTTAATTAAAACTGTAAGGTAATTAAGAAATGTGTATTTTGAATACAAATGAGCACAAGAAGCATTTTTATTTAGTGAACACATGCAGAAAGCCAGGATGGTCGCTAAATAAAGCCAAATATTACTTGCAAATGGAAGAAAAGTTGAGGGTATAAGCACATGAATATGAAAAAGGAGGCAATATGCCCATTTCATATTTGAGAATAATTTTCAACCTTCATTTTGCACAGTTTTTATAAAGTATTCTAAAAGCTATTTAATGACTCATTGCTTTTCTATTAATTCCTGGGGGGAAGAAGCCCTTGCAGTTGGACCTTTAGAATTGCTTTGAATTGCTATTCTTCATATAAAAAAATTTAACAAAAGATTGACAGATAACAGAGATAATTAATTAATGGACTAATGTAGACATGTTGGAAAAGTAAGAATTTATGTTTTGGTGATGGGAAAGAAAAAGCTCTGCAGAAATAAGAGCAATTCTTAACAAATTCCATATTTTAAGAGTACCCCTAGAGAACCTAAGATTCATCCACCCTATCCTTTAGCCACTGTACAAAATGCACATTTTTAATACAAGTTAATACACAACAGAGAACAAAAAAAAAAAAAAAAAAAGCCAAAAATAAACGAATAAAACTGAAAAAGCTTTTGCACAGCAAGATTACACGAGGTCTTGGGCAGCTGTATTCACTGGCAGGCTTTGGAAGACCACTTTTTGAAGGTGGTGGTATTAACAATCCAGGTGGTAGTCTAGAGTCAGGAGAACTCCTAGGAGTAAGCGTAATGGAAGAGATATCTAAACAAGGAGGTGAATCCTCATTGTTACACCAGAAAAAAGTAGAGGGTCTTTGAAACATATGTTCATCATTATCACACTTTATGTGCAGCAGCTGAAAAGGAATCACAGAAAGAGAAAACATTCTGAGGAACAGAACGTGGTAACGTCAGGGAAAGAAGAAAAAAAGAAACACATTTTATATTTCAAAAAAGCTTGTCAGCAACTTGCTGTTCAGTGCTATAGTTACAAGATACAGAACTTGAAATTACTTCAATAAAATATAAAGATATGCCACATTAAGAGGTAACCCAGTACCAACTGGAGCAAAGACAACTTGATCATTACACCAAATAAAAGGAATTCAGACATCTTTCTAATAGTGTGTGTGTGTGTGAGATGCTAAGAAATGTCTAAATCCAATGAGGTATCAGCAATCCCTCACATCTGCACTTGTAAATTAGCAGCAGGCACAAGTCTGGGGAGGAGTTACTGTGCTGGTTAATGCACAGGTCAGGCTTTTCTCTAACTGATTGAAGAAAAATCTACCATTTATATCCCACCAATGCTGAAAGAACCGCTCATTATTGAACTAAAATCTTCAGAGGACAGATTAATCTTTGGATCTTAACAGAAGGGAATGCACAACTGTGCAGAAAGTTCTTCTTGGCTACGGCCAGGAGTTCCACATGGAGAAGGCAGAAATTGCACATGGGCTGGAGGTGTCCTGCCTAAACCCAGTCCTGCTTAAACCCCTGTGACTGGCCCAGGCTGAGGCAGTGGCAGATGAGTGCATCAAGAATTCTGAAGCTTGGTTTTGCTCCCCTTGCAGTGTTACACAATAGATATATCATGATTATTTCATCAGAAGTTTGCATAACTTAGTAGAGCAGGATTCAATCATTTTAAACAAATTTTTTCAGTGTTATGTAGAAAACAAAACATTTCATATCCTTTTAAAATGACTCTCAGCTTCTTTCTTTACAGATTAACCTGGCTAAGGTGACTAAAGTTGCAACAATGCCATACTTGAGAATGTCAAAATAACATACAAAATTCCCTACTCAAAACATGCAATTCAGCATTAAAGAATAAAAAAATTTTCACCCCAGCTTCAAAAATCTCCATACTGGAATTGTGAAATGGAGGGTTTGGAATGGTAATCAACAAAAAGAAATAAAAAAACTACATGAGAGAATTTTGATTATTATTTCAAGAATATCACCAGATTACAGGTAGAAGAGTTGCAGTGCTACTGTGCATTACTGCCATGGAATCCTTGCTGCTACACAACTATGGGAAAAAAAACCCAGGCCTCAGAATAATAAACACTCAAAAAGACTAAACAGTGTAATTGAGAAGGCCAAATACTCTCCTGAAATGCAAAACAGCAAAGGATAAGTAATTTTCATAAAAAGGCATGGATGTCACATGAAAAAAATCACACAGAAAGCAGCACGACGCACACAGGACACCAAGCAGCAAAGCCATGAGGATATTGAACATATATCAAATCCAGGCAATGGAAAAATTCAATACAAAACCAGAACACACAGCCCTGGTGTCATCTGAGCCCTGAACTGGAGCAGTTCCAGGTCTCACAGTGACACTTTGGACACCACACACCCTATGGGGTGGTGAGCTTCCTACCACAGTTTTGGGAACGCACCTGCTCAGGAATGCATTTTCCCTGGGAATTCTTCATTTGCAGAGCAGCACAGAACCCATCAGGTGCTGGGAATGCTGCTCTGTGTCTCACCTCAGGGTCCAGAAGGACCTGCAAGGCTGATGGGCTTTCTGCTCACAGCCCTCTGGAGCCAAGCAGCCCAGAGACACCACAGGGGCAGCAGGGAAGTGTATTCGACAATGGAAAACAGGGAATGTCACCAAATGCACAAAGTGCAGGGGGAGAAAGGCAAAGACCCTCATTCTAAAGAATACAACCTGAAAAGGGTGTAGTTTTTGAAAATTAATACTCTTACACTGAATTATAAAGGAAGAAAATATAGTAAAAATAATTAAATTGTCATTTTATACAGCAACTGTGCTTTGTCTGAGGTGCCCACTCAGAGCTGCAGTAATAGTGGCATTGATACAATGTGTTCCAATTTGGGCCTCATTCCACTAACATAAGAAAATGACAAGAAATGATACTTCATGAAATTATCATACTAGTTCAGTGGACTTGGTCTCTCTTATGGTCAGATGTAACTACATGCCAGCAAAAGATTTATTTTTGACTCATTCTGCTGAGAAGGGTGCTGAAGATGCACTCTTGTGCTGCATCATATCAGAAAATGTAATGTGATTGTGGTTTTATTAATCAGGAAATTACTTCAAAATTGTTTCTTTTTACAAGGTGTCTCTAGACACGATTGCAATCTCTGTGTCACACCCACATAGTTTTGCTGCTTAAAACATTCAAATTGGTGATATACAGAACCACCACATCAGGAAACTGCAGCAACATGCCAGGGAATTGCGAGCAACCTTGAACTGAAAATTATGCATTTAGTCAAGAACCTGGTCATTTCCTGAGATTTGGGACTACTAAGAACACTCACTCATCCATAATTTACTAGTTCATAAAATACTGTATGAGCATTAGCAGTCCCATTAATTAACTGCTACATCTTCAGTTCATTTAGTACTTTTTCAGTGACATGAAATCTGCCATAGGGAATTTCAAATCCATTTTCTTTAACATTATAAATGCAACAGAATTTTATACCCTCAGGAAGAAGTGCTCAAACAACTCAACACAGAATATTATAAATCTAAACAAGCTGAAGACAGGCAAAAAAACCCAAAAAAACCCCACGTGCCTTTTCCCACTTGGCAATCTTGGTGGAAACAGGAACCAAGTGATATGCATAAACACATTCCAAAATGGTTTTTGAAATCTGCATACAGTTTCAATGTCTGTCTTGGGGGTTTTCCCGTGAGTGTGGTAAAACTTTCCAGTGAGGAAAGCTTTTTCACTGAGGCAGGTGGCCTATGCCTCTAGGTCACAGCAAAACCTTGGAGCAAAGGGCTAATCCATCAGTGTCTTTAATGCTCTGCCTAAAACTGAAAGGGTTTTGCACCATCTCCATGAAGGAGTATGTATTCCACACTGCTTCTTTGGAAATATTTATGGTGCATGGAAGAACACTGATCCTTCTGGGCTGCTGCTCCCAGCATCTCTTCCTGCTGCCCTCCAGTTCAGCTTCCCCACATTTCAGTGCTCTCAGGCAGCCCTGGCAGCTTTGGGCAGCACTGGCAATGGGAACAGCAGCAAGAAAGACACAGTGTGAGCCCACTGTGCCAGGGCTGTGCTGAGCTCTGGAGGCTGCAGTTACACACAGCAGCAGCATCCAAAGCCTCCTGGGGACACAAACTGCAGCAATGTCCCCACAGGCAAACAACGGGATGAGAACCCGATGGTCCTCACTTAATCAAGACCAAATGCAAGAAAGATCAGTGATTAAAGCATTGCCAAGCCACTGCAACAGATGAGAAGTAAACAACAGATACACAAGTCACAGAAACTTTAGTAGTGCGTGCATAGGAGCGAGACAAAGGAAACATTCCATGCCAACATTTCCCATGGCACATGGAAGCGCAGCTCCAGAGGCAAACTAAGGAAAGTCTTAGTTTGGGATTGCATGTCCTCGACAGAGCTACTCAGGACACCAAAAAAAGTGATAGTTCCTGTTGCATAACACTTCTGCATGGGCAAACACACTCATCTGAGGGACTAACTTCTCAAAGTTCTAGGAGGACTGCTCAAAACCATCGACCCGAATGCAGAAAGCATGATCACTAAGCAGTTTATTATTTACTGAATGTGCTGAGCAAACGTAAATCTAATTAGCTACAATATCCTGAGAGAAAAAGCGTGAAGATTGATAATTTGATGTGCAACTTTCACAATATACTTTATGCAAAAGTATTTCATTATACAATCCAGTTTCCTCTCTTTCATTTCCAACTATGATCTCATTGCCTTAATGGGTTCTTTTATAGGTTGAGAAAGAAATTTATTTTTCCCACAGAGTTTATGAACTGACAGAAAAAAACACCTAAATTAGACTGATGTTGATTTGGCCATATGGCTAGATTTAGAGCAGCTACAGAAAAATTTTCATAGTGATACAAATTAGCAAGCAAGGAGAGAGAACCCTGATGGCAATTGTATCCCTGAAAAGCAGAACTTGATTGCTGTCAATGCTTTTCACCCATTTAAACACTGCAAAAATGCAAAGGGTAGGTAATCATATTATTCACACACGTATTTTGCACCCATTTCACTCTGTCAATATTATTTTAAAATATGTCCTCAAATAAACCCTTAGCTGGCCTGCAAAAAAACTGCAATACATGCAAGATTCATCAGAAAAGCAGTTTTAGACTGAATTTCCCTTTGTACATCCCAATCAAGCCTTTAACTTGCACTACTTATAAACTGGACAGAAAAAAGTAATCCCTAAATTTTAAAATTATTGCTACTTTTAATTTTCATATGCAAGTGGGATTTTTTTCTGTTTTTGTTTTTGATTTTTTAAATAGAGTAACTGAGGACTTGCTAATAATAAACTCCCTAACACTCCAATTCACTATTATTACCTAAAACATATTTAATTAAAACAATTAGTGACAGATATTTCAGCTGGAAAAATGTTCTCTTATGAAATTATCAACTCAAAAGATTCTTGATTCTACGCTTAAAACGAAGCTTTAAGCTTACTTAAAGTAAAATGCACTGCTTGCATTTTCTTCTCTTAGATCATGCATGGATTTCTGGATAGGTCATCAATTTGTACACATTTTGATGTGAAGGATCAGAAAATTAAGGTGTTTTAGTATTATGTTTTGCAAAGAAAGTGTTGAACACTATTACCCAAGAATTCAATATGTGAGCACAGGGCAAACTCCTTTTAGAGAAGTGAATCTGTCAGCAAAGCCACACATTGCAGTCTAGCCTGGCAAATCACATTTTGTCTATAGTTTGTGAAACTATGAAGACAAAATGTTTTAAAAACATTTTAGAAGTAAAAGACGATCTGAATTTTAAGTATTGATAGCATTACATTTGATCCTAAGCAAATGGTTTTATCTCATATTTAGCTACAAACCTATTTTCAGTGACAACAGGAAGTTAGAAAAGTTTATTTCAAATGACAGCCTGGATGTATCTGTTTGGAACTGAAACATGCTGAAACAATTTTTTAAATATGCAGTGAACCAGATGCTTAAAACCATACATGTATTAAGTTATCCATCCACAGTTTAAAGATGCTCTCACATTCTATTTTCTTTTGATATTGAAGTGAAAACAGAAAATGTAATCTCTTCCTGCTTGTGGGAAAATGATCTGTGAATGAGAAGGCTGAGTTGTCTAAAAGAGTACAATTGGCTTTTAAAAAAAAAAAAAAAGAGACCAAAAAACCCAAGTGACACAAATCAAGGGTCAGTGACATAATACAAAAAAAACCAAAAAACAACAAAAAAAAAACCCGGGTGCACTTAAAATTTCCTGAATTGTTTTTTCCTTTCTTTATTTAGTTAAAAACTAACAGGAAGACTAATGTGTGCAGAATGATTAATCGATGCACCTCAGAAGCAGGAATAAAGAAATTATAACTGGCACTGATGCAATGGCACCATGGCTTCCCAGTGACTGCCAGGTGGGAAAGCCATTCTGTCTGGATCAGTATCTTACCACACAAGGCATGACAGTGACACCATGTGCTGGCTGTCACAGCAGCGTGTCACACTACCGGTGCAATAAATTCTAAAAGCCCCTAAGCCTCCACTCCTGGGGATGGAAATCACCCTCCTGATCATTGCCAGCTCTGTGCCTGCTTAGAGCCCCTGGTGTCACTGGGATGGCTCTGAGGGAGCAGAGGACACAGCCCAGAGCGATGTCAATGTTTCTGCTGCCCTGTTTGTGCCTGCCAGCACAGGCCCCTGCAGCACTCCCTGCTCTGGGCAGGGGATCCTTGTTTAATCCCACTGCTCCTACACCTGCTCCTGACTGCCAGGCACTGACCAGCAAGGGCTCAGCCAACAACCTGTGTGACAGGGGAGCCGCTGGAGCGCATTGCAAACACTGGGAGAGCACAAACAGCATGCAGACAACCAGATACAAACAGGAAAGCACAAGCTGTGAAAATCTAAGGTACTGTTCAAGCACAAACAGAAGCAACTTTTAACCATCTGTAGCTGGCTTCTGAAACTCAACATTTCTTTACAAACTGCTGTGATGCCAGTTAAAGGCATGTGTTCTTTTATCATATTAGGTGTCAAGGATCAAGGTTCAACTTTCCTTTGACCACTGAACAATCCCTTCCCTAGACCTCACCACGCAGAGGAGCTGGACTGCCAGATAAAGAGCTCCAGCCATAAAAGATTAAAAAATAAAAATAAATCAAAATGCTTATTATGGGTAAGAAAAGCTTCAGAAAGCTGTTGTATGGCACTGGCATCCCTGCATGATTCAACAGTGTGATAAGAAAAATGCAAGAAAACTTAAAACTTATAGTTTAATAAATCTGCTCTAAATCAAAACGATGATTATCTTACTTTCACAGCATATAATACCAAGACTATGTGCATGGAAGAAAGCTTTTCCCATCCACCCAAAAGTGCTTAGAAAGGGGCTCAAACAATGTTTTATTCCCCATGTTGGATATTCAGCTTCACTTAAGCTGTTTTATTTCAGAAAATATAGAGCTGAAAAGTTTACTCTGACAACATAATCACAATATAGATCTGTTACTTTAATTTTGAAGACAGAGCAGCAGCAGTACAGATATTTTTAGTTTAAATTCAGAAAAAATCTGCAATTATTTAGTTTAAAACTAAAGGGACTTTTTCATTTCAGTAATCATGTGGAAACAGGGGGAAAGAAATTTTTGCACCACTTCTTTTTTCTGATAGGAATTGAGACTTTGTAGAATCATACTTGAAATTATAGTTGATTGGAATGAAAGGAAAGAAAATTAATTTTAAAATATAACAGGCAACCAATTGTCTTATTAATTGTTTGTAATTTTGTTCCTTCATACATATTTGTTGCTCACAAGGTACAAAAGGACATAGGTGTCATCACATTCACTGCTATTTCGGACACATTGACTAATAATCTTTTAATGGACTCAAATATTTTATATTTATATGAATGATAATAATTTTATATTTAATAAATAATATAGAAAATAAAATATATTAATTTTATTTATTAATTTGTATAAAATAAAATATTTATATCTTTTTCTCTGCACTGAAGTCACTTGACAACCTCACCAGCCCATTCCTTCATTCATTCCCAACCTAACAGTTGCACTGACATGGAGTTCCTCCTACAGCAGCACACCTGAGAGCTCTGATTCACCATCTCCACGAGACCTGGTTTAAAAGGACCTACTGAAAGCTGCCTCCTGCTGAGGTGCCAAAGTTGATAGTGCCTGGTGGGAACACCTGTGGGCCTGGAGTGAGAAAGACTTTTTCCTAAAAATGAGCTTGGTTTTGGTTGGTTGGTTGGTTTTGTTTTAATTTTTGGCTGCACAACTGATGGAAGAATCCTGTAAAAGGAAAGGAGCTTCATCCAGACTCCTGCCTGAAGCAGCATACAATTTGCTGAGGCTGTTGAGGACCACATACATTAAGAAATTTGGTTTATTTTGATAACTGCCTAAAGCTGTACAGATGGAACACACTTGTGGGAAGAGGGGAGTCATTAGGACCAGTCTGCAGTGCAACCTGCATTTTTGGAGGCCCTGCCTAGGTGTCAGGAAGTGCCAGCCAGCAACTTAAACAAGTTTCTCTCCTGATCACCTACAGGAACTGCAGAGCAGTTGGAACTTCCAGCGAGGAACCTACCCTTGCTCCTCTTTCCCAACCACCCAGCATCGGCTCCCAAGACCTCAGGGCTCCTTGGCAGGCAGGTTGTCATCACAGGTGACCATGTCCTTGTGACAAAGGTGTGAGGAGCTCCCAAGCAGCATTTAGGAACCAGATCCTTTCAGTGCAGAACAGTTTTTCACCCTCAGCTGGCACATTCAGCTCTCTACTCGAGTGCGCATTTATTGTCCTGAGGCAGCAACAAATAGGTATGGAAGGGCCACAGCTGGAGAGCCTGCAATTTGTACTTCTGCTGGCTCGTCCCTCTGTCACTGTTAGTGACAATGCCCTTCAACAGACATGCTACTTGGTCACTGCATGTTAATGGCAATCTCTGGGAACAGCAGGGATGCTCAGAATGATCGTAATGTGATTATAAATACAGAGTGACCTCAGACGCAAGAGTTATGTCAGGTACTTACTGGAGACGCGTGTACTTGTGTTATTCTTAACTGGTTTTCCAAATCTTGAACTTTATTTTTCAGTTCTGCATTTTCAGTTTCTAATTCTTGAATCTACAAAGAAAGTGGTTATTCAACAGCTATTGGGATAGTCATGGATTTCAACAACAGCATCCACTGAGCATAAGTTTCATCACAGATCTGGTGATTTAGAATCAAGGTTTAACTCTTTATCTGACTATAAAACATATTCAGTATCCTCCATATTTCAAACTTCCTTTTTTGTGTCCTTGGAGGACAGCAAAACAAAATATTTTAACAGATTTTTTTCAGTCTTCTTTTTTTTTTTTAACTTTAGCAATCTGAGAATAATGCTGGAAATTATACTTCCATAAAAAGCAGCTAATACAAACACAGCAGCATGTACTTTTATCTCTTAAAAAGAACAACATAGTTCAGAACTTACTCTTTTCTGTAAACCTGCGATTTGTTTCCTTGTTTCAACATCTTTTCCTCCGGATTCCAGAAATTTCCTGTAAGCTAAGTCAAATGCTTGACCAATTGTTAAAGTTATCTCTTCCGCCTTTACATAAAACATAAGACTGAAATTAGTAAATTAGGAATACTTGCTGGAGCTCCTTTCATTTCAGAATATCACAAAACACTTTATACCATGTATCATATCCAAAGGCTTTGCCCCATGCACCATGAAGCCAACACTACAAAGGAGCACCACAATATACAGCCTGTTCAATCATGAAATAAAGTATTTTATATTTAATGAAATAATGTTTTCATGCCAATGGATGTTTTGACCCCTATTGATTTTAAATCTAGATTTCAACACTTATTTTTATGAGTACTATAAAAGCTCACTCAGGATACTGCAGACAAGTATTTAACTGCCCAATTATTAATTATTTCCAACTACATATATCCAGAAAAAAAAATCTGCAGATATTGCATTTGTATGTGCAAAATATAGTAATTTACTAGTTCTATGCTGATTCATATCCTATGTTATGATGTGTTTATACAGTCAGCGCAGAATATCTATGTCAAAAATGATGGGAGTAAAATAAGCCTAAAGGATGCTGCTGAAGGACACGAAGGTTTCAGGAACAAGTGATTCCAAAGCAGGACCAATGAAAGGTGAACAGATGGATACACCATTTGCTTAGAACTTTAGCAGAGGAAGTAAACACAGTAAGGAATAACTGTTCTGTCTCAGACACCAGAGAATGTCCGTTCTTGGTGCAAGGAGTTGTTTGGGAGTGCTTTGTGGTGTTAAACTTGAGAGATGTGGCAGGGAAAGGGGTGGACAAAGAAGGGAGAATCTTGCTGCGATAAAATAAAAACCTCAAAGACAAACAATGCACAAAAACCCCAACACTAAAACCAGAGACAGACACATCAGCAGAAAAGCCTGCAAGGGTATCTCAGCCCCAGAGCTGCAGTAATCTCTGCAAACAGCTGTGCAAACATCTCAAGCCTGGTGGGATGGAGCCTGTTCTCCAAGAGTATTGCAGATGCTTCCCCCAGGATGAAATTATCCCAGAAAACCACCTTGGATCACTGAAGAAAGAGACTCTTCCTTAACTTAATGCATCTAAGTTGCAAGACAGCATACTGGCATGAAAACCTGTGTCCCAGTTAAGAGGCAGGCTGTCTCTGTTAACCATTCCCACCCCATCTCAAGGCAGACCCATCAGCAGCACAGTGCCCTCGAGCCCCGCAGAGTGTCCCGTGTACTTACACACTTCTCACTGTCAAACACATAGCACAGGTGCTTATTGGATTCTGAGTCTTTGCAGATGAAAGTAAATATTCTCTTGTCAGTTTTGTCATCAGCACAAAAGGATATCCTGTGCAGCTGACAGTTGTGCTGGACCTCCTGCAAACAAACAGAATGGTAATTTTGAAGAAATTCCTGCACTCATTTAGGATGAAGATGCACAAAGGAAAGCTCTGGATTTCCTCATAAGAGCAGGCAAGCTGCAGTAATGTTTTTGAATGTCTCTTGTTGCAGTGAGAGCACCCAAAAATGGACTTAAAGCATAACAGAAGTTAGCAAACTCATCTCCTAAAAACTGCTCCTGTTTTTACTGAATGTAAACAGGAAGTTTATTTGGACAGCATTTATCTGGAAGTGTTTATTGGACAGTAATTTCTGTTCTAGAAAATTGATTTTACTGTTGCTTTGCATCCCTCTGCAATTTATTTAGGGCCTGATTATGTAAAGTCATCTGTGCACTTCCAGGTGCACAAGATCTTCAAATTTCATCATCTCCCAAGGTTTGTTATAATGGATTTACTGAAATGAGTCCTTACTTTGCTACATTAAATACAGAAAACAGAAATAAAATTACTTTGCTAACCAAACAAAGAGAAATAAATCTGACACACAAATACTTGTTTACTTGAGGTGCCACATAAGCAGCTTTTAAGCATTATTATTTGTATATTCTGCTACTGTATTTAATTTTCCATTAAAAAGTAATTTCCAGCTATTTAAAAAGTTTCAATGGCACTGCTCTTCAGTTGCAAGAACTTGACAAGACTGAAATAAACTATCTCAGCTATTTTTTTATTGTTTTTCTTCAACAAGTCTCTTCTTGGTATTTTATTTTATTTGGCTTATTACATGGGAAAGCAGTATTTGCTTTAAAGGAAAATATGTCTTTTAGATGTGAACTATTGTCTATTAAAAAATGTGCAGCACAGGGGTTCCCAGCTTGCTGTAAGCCCATAAACAAGGCCATGCCCGCTCTGCACAAAACCACATAGCCAAAAAATGCACCCTATGGGCAATCTTTTGCCCTTGCCCCAAGTGAGTTCATTTTCTCAGTCTTTACAGCTGTTCTGAGTATTCAGTTTCTCCCATGTCCCAAATCCCCATCCTGTAGCAGCTCTTTAACACACAGAAATAATAAAACGTGCTTGCCCTGGCACTATGAGGTTTACCAATCCATGTAATTATTTTATATCGTTTAAGGACAGAATCACATTTTTATAATCCTTTTTTTGAGTGCTAAGTATAGAATCAGGTCCTGATATATGAGCTGGCCTCCTATTCCTACTGCCATTAATAGTCACCATCTGACTAAAACCCAATATTCCTACTGAAGTGCTTTGTTTGAAAAACACACTGCAAAAAAGACTTTAATTAGTGCTGATAAGATGAAATTGAATTTCCTAAAGCATTTATAAACTGTGTAAAAAGAAGGAAAACTCAATTGAAATTTACATGCAGCTACAAGAGATGAAGTGGGCGAGATAAAAAGACTGCTCACAGTTGATTACTACTTGAGTTGTAATAACAACATTGCTAAGAGATTAGAATGTTCCTACTCCCCCAGGAACATATAACCCACAGATTTCTGCTAATCTCTGCAGGAAGGCTAAGATCTTTTGGCATTTCAAACTGTTATTTTAAAACAGTTTTTGCCAGAATATGGGGTTTAGCACCCCAGTCTGCTCTACCGCAAAAAAACTCCAATTAAAGTTGACATGGATATTTCTTGTCCTCTCTGCTTCTGTGTGAACTGTTGAGTCCTGGTTGTGTGAAAAGCCTGAAGCAAAAATGGGCTGCAAACATCTGTAGCTTTGAACTACAGCTACCATTTGAGAAAAGGCACTGCCACTGCCTGAATGCAGCAATTACTCCACAAGTAAGTTAAGAAGCAGGAACAAAAGAATCTTCCGAATTCAATATTCAACATATATACGGACAGGTTTTTATTATATACAGTGTCATATTTATTCTACATATTTATTATAAATATTACTCATATTTATTATGCATACTTATGCAGTGTCAAACATTTATTTAGGTCATTGTCTTCATCTTCCTTAAAGTTTAGAAGTCCTGCTGTGAAAGGATTAAAAAAATTCAACGCCATGTTAGCTACAGTGTGCCTTCAGGACCATCATGTACCTTCCTGAGAAGATGCCACCCAGATGTTGTAACAAACTATGGTATTTTAGAAGATTTTTTTCCACCAACAGAATGGTGGGGTTTTTTTAATAATACTTTAAAAAATACAAAACAATGAAAACCTTAAAACCAGTGAAACAAATATTTACTAGTTTAGCATGAAAAAAATCCCATGTAAGTTTCTTACCTTTGTTTTTGGATCTAGAATTTTTACACCATAGATTGAGATTTGTAACTCAACTTTGGGTGTCTTCTGGCCTTCAGATTTCTTGATATGTCTTGCAAACTGAAACATAAATGCACAACAGAAATCACATTAATAGTAAGTTTGTTTTTATTAAATCTCATTTTCTCTCAACTCTCTCCACCTGAAGTTGTTTCCTTCCTTCTTCAATAATCTTCCCATAAACAACACCAACTACTCCAAGAGTCTCAGCTGGGCACAGACCAGCATTTCTAACTGCACACTACAGAATGTTCCTAAAATTCAGGAAGAAGCATTTTAAAATTACTTAGCACGTTCCCCCAAAACTTTTATCTGCTTTTTATGCACTTAATTGAAGATTTTGCAGGCAATTTCTCTGAGAACAGCAGAAACATGAACACATTCAGCTTAGCAGCTGCCTGGTTGTTGAGTAGGAAACATGTTTATGTTTCCCACACACCACTATTTCCAAACTCACTTCCATACTTGTGCATGGAGGGTACTTCCAGATGCTCCTTTAAGATATTCCAGCAGTTGTTTTAAACAGGGTCAGTTTGAAAGTACTAGAGTTGTCAACACCTAAGAAGTACTTGATCTGTTTTATTCTCAGAATTTATCTAGCCACTAGATGGTGGCTAGACAGCACTTTACATGCCTGGGTTGGGTAATAATTCCTATCCAATACACTTCTCATCTTTTTCAAGACTCACCTTTCTCTCTTTCTCTTGTGAATACTGTCTATAAAATCAGCACAGTACCTCAAATTTACTCCTGCATGACAATTAAGAAGTGCCCTAAATTTGGGTACCTTTCTTAGCAAATATGTGTGATTGCTTCATATTTTTCTCTGTTCCCAGAGCAAAATGTTGCCCTTTTACTCCCAAGTCTCTGACAGCCTGGAACGGCATTTTCAAATGCATAAATAAGGTTGATGACCCACCAAAGGCCGGAATTTGGAGTCTCTGCTTCAGAGCTCTATGTTTGAACACATGATCCTCAACATTCCCATTCCAGAATAAACTGGATGTGCAATCCCCACCAGTACAAGTGCTCTGTGTCAGAAGCCAGTGTGGACAATGGCTTCCAGTGCCATCAAGAATCCAGAGTGCCACCAATGGTGCTGTCCTATCAGACCTGGAAGGCACCAGCCTGAATTGCCCTGTGATTGTGAGGTGCTCGGCTGTAGCCAACTGACACCTCTCCCTCAAATCCTTAAAACCTCTGACCACAATTAATTATTTATTTGAAAGTTCAGGGTTTGGATTTTTGCTCTGATCCTTTTCCAACCAGTTCTTGGAAAATTTTCCCATAAAACAAGTGCTTTACAGAATATGACTGTCAATCTCTTATTTCATTTTGCTTATGGGCAGCTTCATTCATGGCAAATTATTAAATAGTTTGCAGAATGACCCTAAAAACACAAAATGAGCCTGTTTTTCCCTTCTTCTCAATTTTATTCCTCATTTTGAAGGCATACTTATTGGACTTTTGATAGCTAAACATTAATTTATAATTGATCCTATTAACTTCACACAGTAACAGACACTTCATTACTGATTAATGCACCCCAATAGCTGATAAGTACCACACACTTGGTAAAACAGCCTCACCTCAAAAACCTCCCACCTCAAAAACCCCAAACAACTACCCCCCATCTAAACCACTCTGTGCCATTCTCAAAACCAGCTCTTAAATATAAATACCTATTTTGCATTTAAACATCTAGAAATGCCACAGTCACTGGCCAAGTATTTTATAAAACATAAAGTATTCTGTATTTCATACAGAATGATTTACTTTACCAATTAGTTGAGAATCAAGAAAATATAATTTCTAGTTCTGCCTCTTCAGCACCGTGTACATGCTTCTTGCAACACATTCTTTTCCCATCTGTGAATTTCACCTCAAGCCCATGTCTTGCTAAATACACTTTTAATACACATTAATCCCTGTATCTTTATTAAAGCGTACCATTCCATGTGCATACTTGAATTTTTTAAAAAGACATTTTACAGAAAATAAAATTTTAAAAAACTTAACTGCTGGTTTTCAGCATTTTGTCCAATGACATCTGTTACTTTAAGGAACAATTAAAATTCACTACAGATAAGAAATGTTTTATTTAATAAAAATCACTCATTAAACCACACAAAATCTGTCCTAAGTTTTATACTGCAAATTTAGCCTTTAGTCTGTGCTTAAAGAAGAAAAAGATAGACCAACCATTGCTTCATTTGCACAAATTTTTATTTTTTTTTTCAATATGAATATAAAACTTGAAGTGTCTTTAGATAATTTTCAGATCATGGACTTATTCATTAACTGCATCCAGCAGCTTTCCCCTCTGATTTGTAATTTCCTGCTGTCCCTTCAGTGGGTGGGACTTGGAGGACATGTGTGACCCCTTTCCTCAGTACTCTGCCAGGTTAAATGGAATGATTACAAAATCCAAAGATCACCCAGACATTCTGGACATCTCAATTCCCAATGTACTCGCTGGTGCCCAGGAAGACACCCACGGAACAGATAACCCTGAGGCACAACTCATTCTGAAACAGCCTGGAACTGGAGCAAATTCTAAGCTTTTGGAAATGTCCTTTTGCAAACAAGTCATGCACGAGAATTTCTGCACAGTAGTGAAGAAAAAGCACAAATACTGTTGGATTTTACAGCATTAAACTCATGGTTCATATTGAGACTGATGATGGAATGCTTGATTTTCCAACAGCAATCATCTCAGAGACTCGAACAACAGCTACAACATGAAAAAGCCGTAATTTTTAAAGAAAAGAGGTTTTAAAGAAAAAGGTTTTAAAGTAAGTGATGTGAATAGCTTGCACAAGTTTTAGAACAGCTGGCCAAAGCTTGCTCCAAGTAGTCAAGAAGACTTACAACACTGAGGAAGTTCCAGAAGGCAGTTCTGTGCCAATTCCAAAAAAAGCGTGAACAAACTGACCCTACCACGTCTCCACTCTCAAAAAGCAGAAATCCAGTTCAAGAACTAGAGAATTCAAGTGAGATTAAATTAATGATGATCAATATTTTACAAAAAATGCAGCTTGTCTAAGTATACAAAGCATCTGCATTGTGTATGCCACTTATATTTAAGAAAGTGAAGCAACAGAAAGAAAGCATGAGTTAAGTTAGTTACATTAGTGTCCAGATGTAGTTATAAACAGGAAATTGTCATTGGGAAGATATGTTTCTAATGTATTCCAGCAGGGTTTATTTCTTAAGCATGACATTATTGAACAATGACCAGGAGAAAAAAAGTTACTGATAAAATCTGCTAGCAGAAAAAATAAGAGGGGAAGGAAAGGGGAGAAAACAAATTAATGATCTGAAATCTAAATTCAGAGGATTGAATTTAGATTCAATTACACAGAGGAAACTTGCAGCCCACAAATACTGATGAAGGGGCAAAGAACAGAGAGAAGCCTCATCAACCAGAGCACCACTGGCTGGTATCCCAACACAGCCCCTTGTTTTCCTACAAGCAATCCTGCAAATTCCACACATGGCAACAAACTTTGGTTCTTGGGAGACCACCCTGTGAGGATGGAAGAATGGAGTCTGACAACATGGTAGGACTTCCACTAACTGAGGACCTTCTCATGAAACCAAAACTGGGAAGGTGTTTCAAAGAGATCCTTAAGATGACAACAATGGCTGCACTGCATCAGCTGCTTGTGAGAAAACAAATGTTATTTACTGAGGGTTTCAAATGCAGAAGGATGTTGACAAAATGGAGAAAAAATTCACAGGATATTTAGCAAAGTTAGCAGAGGGCTGGAAAACCCACTTTAAGACACTCCATAAAATCAAAACCAGGACAATGGTGAAAAAAACCAAGCACCAAAGAACCCCTTCCATACAGACATCCAGACAAATGGTTTTTTTAATCAAAGGTACAATGAACACACAAAGATTAATTCAGAAAATCTGTGGCAGTTCCTTTCTTAGCATTTTTCCTGCCCACTGTCCTGTGCAATAACAGATAGCACACAGATACTGATCAGCAATTTCTTTTCTAGCTGACATTCTCCACATTCATCCACATTCAGAATGCCACATTCATCCACCTCCCAAACCTGTGCGGGGTTTGAACAGCACTTCCCCATCACTGAGTCAGGTATCAGGAATTTTCTATTTTATGTATTTCTAGTCTTTTCTTCTACCTAAGGAGGACCCCAAGAGACCTCTGGACCTGGGAGATGTACAAACATGGCATTTTCCTATCAGCACACATTTGAAACCAAATAATATTTGTATCTCACACAGTAACAAGATTATTTAAGAGGGTAAAAATCTGCAGCCTCCCATTGGCATCAAAATGGAAAATGATATAAAATTATAATGAATCACAGCATGGCTTGGGAAGAGACATGATGGGCCAAATTCTTAAACTGTTAGTTTATACATATAATGTTCTCAGGCACGAACTCCAGGTTTGGTCCAGCTCAGTGGGATGGGCTAGTTTATGTTCAACTGCTTCAGAATTAACATTATATTTTCATGGCATTTTTAGGGAAAGGAACAGATACAAATAAACCTATTTTCTATTTCTATTTTCTACTGTTTAACTTAGCTTTAAAAATTAAAAAAAAAAAAATGAAAAACCATCCATATATTTTGTAATTTATCACAGCAGCAGGGAAAAATGCATACTCTAAGAGTGTTATTAAAATTAAATTTGGTGTGTTTAGGTATCAAGTATTATCAAACCACAAACAATAAAAATGCCATGAGGAAAAAAAAATCATATTTTCAAGACAACCAGGAACTGGAGCTAAAGAACTAATTGTTAATACTAATTACCTCTATAGATCTATAAATCAATTTAAGCCATGCAATTAAAATTATGTGCTTCTCATTAATATTTACACCTCCCTGCACAATTCAAGATTTAATTAAAAATAGTTGAGACATCAAAAGGGAGATGTTCCTGTGATTTGGATGCTAATCTCCATCCCAGGGAAGAGAGGTTCACCTTCATTTAATGCAGGTGACCAGTGACAAATCAGACATGGCACTTCACACCTTAAAAGAGTCCTGGTTTAGGGCAGGGTCTTTGGATAAGCTGGGAGACAGCTTTGTAACCTCTCTTGGAAGAAATCCTTCCTCCTTTTTTTCATTACAACATTCATTCTAAGGAAACATGTCTGAAAAAAAAACCCAACAGGCCCCATTTTTTTTGCAGTGCCTTCATGTCATCTAATTGGTCATGTTATGGTCCAAACTCTCATGGACATTTGATGTGGGCATAATGAAATTATGGCTTCTGAAAAACAGCTGCCACGAGCAGGAAAATGGTGAAATGATATGCAAAATGCAGTCTCTCAATAATCACCCGGGCAGGGAAAAAGCCATCCAGAAGTGTATGTCTATGGAATAAGTTGTATTTTATTTTCCAGACACACACTGGACTGAGAGGCAGCCTATCCATCTATTATCCACAACGTAGAAGACAATACAGTGCAGCCTTTCTTCCATCTCTCACTTCCTGACAGATCTTTTGTGTTTTGTTGTATTTGGGGGTGGGCTGCTTTTTGTTGCTGTTTTGACATCTTTTGCTTATTTTGCCTGGTGGCATGGAGGTTTTTTTGTGGTAGGTTTTTGATTATTTTTTTTCCTGGTTGGTTTTGGTTGCTTTTTTTTGGGGGTGGGGGGTAGGGGAAGGGGCAGGGTTTAATTTTAGGTTTTTTGAGAGGCAGGGTAAACAGGTATTTTCTTCAGCTCTTCTCATCTGACTTGCTTTGGTCTTCAGGATGTCCTTGACTGTCACTGAACCACAAATTCTGCTTTCTGCAGTACTTCAAAGAGAGCAGTCATAGCTGGAAGGCTTGGCTGCAAATCTCTTTATCCCAATATTTAAAGCTTCTCTGTACTCCACCCTCCTCCTCTGTCCTTTCAACAACAAATGAAACTGAGCTTTAACACGGGCGGGAGCCCAGAACAATATCCATGGATGGTCCTTTAAGGGCAGCAGCAGGACAGCATCTCTGCATGTGTGGAAGTGTGTGAACGAGCACTCTTCACTCTGTGTATCCATAGAGGTCAAGGACATGATGAAAAATATTTTGAGTGGTTTCAAAGTGATTTATGCTATTTGCATTTTGTCTGGTCATCTCCACTTACAGAAGAAATGTGGAAGAAAAAAAGGATCATGAATTGAAAGCTGGGTAAGCAAACAGCCTTAAGTTTGGCCCTCACAAAACATCCCTTGGAAGACTGTGGAAGAAACAGCCCAAAACTCAGGTGTTTATTCTGGTTTCTCCCTAACACTCCTCCGTGCAGCTTTCTTACCACTGCTCTGGTTATGCTGCTCCTTCCATCTGTCATGCTGCTCTTTCTACCTGTTTCCACTTCTGACAACAATTTATGAGAAAGATCAAATTCATTCTTACAGTCTGATTGAGAAGTTACAAACTGCATTAACCAAGGAAAATAATAATTTCATTTAATAAAGTATGATTTGACAACATGTAGACATTTGAGTACCATAGGCATGTTTGGATACAGCGTCTGGGTGCCATGTGCTTTAGCTTTTGTTTCATTCTAGAAACCAGTTTGGCTAGAAAACTTGAAGGAAAACACGTTTTGTAATAATTTATTATAATAGTTCATCTTATCTTACAAATAAATAAACAAACACATTGTAAAACATTAGTGTTCAAGTTTCTTCTCTCTCCTGCAGTACAGCTCCAAGCACTTGGAAAACACAAGGGGAAATCCCACCTAGATAAAGCCACTGGAGAATCTTTTGGAAAAATTAAACATAGTTGCTTGAAAAAAAGATCTTCTAATTGCAACTGTCCCAGAAAAATTGTCAAGAAAATATAAAAGTCGTATTTGGGACAAAAGTACAATGAAGCACCAAGAAAAGTTTGTCCAAGATATTTTATGTTTCTGTAGAACATCAGCTCCATCTGCTGGGAAAAATCAGTTTGTGGAATGGCAGCTGCAGTTTCTGTGCTGGGCAGCCCAAGTTTTTGTGCTGAGTTAAGGGCTTTTAGATGATTTAGAGAAGTAAACAGCTGTATATCAAATCTTGACTCTGACAGTTTGGTGACACGAGGGCTTAAGAAAAATGCTTTCTGGTGGCTGCGTTTCATGGTCCGTCTATCACTGGAGCGTGTGACTTCAAAAGCTTATTAGAGTGATGCATGTCACTTGTAAAAATAGTTCTAAACATTAAGAAAGCATCAGTCGTTTTTCTGCCAGCTATTTATTTTAATTAAAAAAAAATTATGATTACTAACATTGCAATTAAAAGCAAATCCAGATAATTTAAAAATATAAATATGGCATCAGAAGCTACATGTGTTTTGAAAACTCTCCTAGCACCAAACCACTTTATATTTCTTCAACATTTCTTTCAGTATGACATTAGTTTTTCCAGCTGTTTTAATTGCTTAAAAATTTTCAATTAGCTTTTTATAAAAACAAATTTCAGATTTGTGCTTAATAAAAAATCCAGTACCTCTAGGCTTCTCTTCAAAAACTACAGATGCACTATGTAAGTCAGTCTTCAAATGAGTATTCAATTAATTGGGGATTGTCTCAAACATAAAAGCGTTTTCATTGCTTTCTGAATTCTGTTCCAAGATTTTTCAAGGCCTTCCGAAAGTCATGTTTATTTACTTTGGAAGGTCCCTAATAAACTTGTGATTATGTAAGATCACATGCAATACTTGATATCTAAGCTACAAAATTCCAAACTTGAAGAAAATAATGTAATTCAGGCAGCAGCTATTCAGACTTCTATCTCCAAGGTGGCTTATTTAGGGAATGTGTGTAGAAAGTTAGGGCAGGTACCTGCGTACTCCAGTGACATCATAAACACACACACCACATTTCTGGCTTTGCCCACACTTCTGAGAGCAGTTATTTGAAATCCTTTTTGGACCCTCTCTCAGAAGGGAAAAAATTGCCATGTGAGAAATCATAGAATTCAACCCACCCAAAGCCTCCAGTGGTCAGTGAGAGCCCAGGCCCAGCCTGGGGTTCCAGCAGTGAGACTGAGATACTCAGCATTTGGTTTATTCAGGAGTGCAATGAAACACCATTAAAACAGAAGCAAAGCTGCTCCATAGCAAGATATCACTGTGACAGATTTCTGCACAGAACTGAATTTTCTTGGGGTATTGGAATTTTATAAAGACAAACTACACAAGGTGCACACAAACCCACTTTGTTCCCACCGATAGAATGCTGCAATGTTTAAAAAAGGGTCAAACTTAGCCTAAAACACTTGAAAACAACTGGACAATAATGACTCTGACTATCTGCAGAACAATAGTCTTTTTGGCATAAAACACTTCAAGTATCAGCTAAATGAATCTTTAAAAGCAGCTGTACTATTTTGGTAGAGTGAAAACAACAGCAAAGAATGTGTTTTAATACCTTAATAAGATTACTGATCCATCTTGTAAAGATGGCTTTCTCAATGGAAAACTGAGCCTTAAAAGCTGAGCTGCATGAGTAGTCTCATGTTTCCTTTCTGCATTTCTTTAGTATGGTAATAACACAATCAATTTTTTCAATATTGACTCCCCACGTTTCCTGCCCATTTCCAAGGAACCTGTTTAAACGAATAATGAAAAGCCTGCAAAAAAGTTATGAAAAATGCGGTAGTAGGGAGAAAGATTTCTAAATCTAAGTAAACTGAAGGGTCAATAGCTCAGAGCAGCTAAGCATGAAGCAATTCCACAGGAACAAGGCAGTGGAGTGGACTGGAACAATCAGCAATCCCTGCCCCAGCTCACAGTGTCTGCAGAGCTCTGAGCAGTCAAGGCAAAGCCATGTTAAATGAAAACAATCCTCAACAAGTCATTGCACTCGGGTATTTTTAGTTGTCCACCAAGTCCCTTGGTGCCCAAGCACATGTAGCCAAGAGGAAATTGCAAAAGTCCAATTTTCTCAGCCATAGCTGGGGATGGCAGCTGAAACAAATTCTTGCTACCTCAGTTTGTATTAATGAAGCTCTAACCAAGCCCAAAGAAGAAGCATTAGCCATTGAAGTACATTAACTTTATAAATATTTCTGAATTATTGTAAAATCTGTAGGACAACTAAATATTGTACACAGCAGAACACCTGACCATACTGACATAATAAGGAAGAACCTACACACTAAAGAGAATTCACTTCTGGAGCCAGTGCATTCACCTAGAAAATCTGCAAAGTGTCTTAGAAAAGAGGGTAAGAGTACATTCCATTTATGTTTCATTAAAAATTCTTACCTTTAACTTTCTAACAGCATCTCTTACAACTTCTGTGCCTTTGGGCTGCTCCACTTCTGTACTGCCTAGAAACTGAAAATATTGTAATTTGTGAGCAGTAAGTTATGCATTTAAAAGCCTAATCAACTTGAGTAATCTTATTTTCCAATTATTTTCAAGCAGCATTTTGGAAAGGCAATTGTTCCAGTAGTTGATAAATAAAAAAGGCTTCACATAGCTATTTCTAATGAAGAGAATAACAAGAATTACATTCTATACTAATATTAGCATTACCAAAATTGACTTTAAAAAACTATCCTATACAAATCTGTAAACTAGAAGTTCAAGTACCTTTTTCCACAGGGAAATTACCACTTTGGTAATAACTCTTCTTAGAAAATAATAAAAAAATGCACATAAAATACAGATGGAAGATGCTTCCCATGAATCAACATGAGCCAATCATTTGGATTCTGTCACTGAAACATTCATATACAATGCAAGATAAATTAAAAGAACTGATTTTCCTCTTAGAGCTGCTTGGTATAGTAACATAGATTTGCAGGAACTAGGCTCCAGCTTATGTAAAACAAGAGTCATATTCAAGTAGTTTCTATTACAATTCATATTTTTACCAAGTAAGGTTTTAATAAAAATCAAACAAGTTTTCATATATAAAGCATAATAATGCAAAAGGAGCTTATTTCTTTATTTGTACACTGAAATGCTTTTGTTTTCTGTACAGGCACACTTGCCTTCTACTGTACTGTCACAAAAGGTATGATAATTCTGCCTGAAACCCATCTGTGCGATACACTAATTGATTTTCTGTTGCCCAATTTTCACACTGAAGTACAGTTAAGTCACATCATGTACATATATATGCTGAAATAACTCTAGGAAAAAAAACCCCTCCCTTTTTTCCCAAAGTACAGTTTGCTGTGTACCATGACACACAGAGGCATGTACCATTTTTAAGTCCCAGCCATTTCGAAAGGAATTTAAATTTGCCAAGATACAGACAATTTAAACAGAGTAACTCCAGAGTTTTTAGTTCTATTAAACCTTCCAACATGTTTAGTGCAGTCAGTGTGCTCAGGGTACTCCTGCAAAGAAACTGTGCAGCTCCACCCATAATGAAGCCTCATTAGACATTTGCTACTGACTAAGAAATATGACATTCCACCTTGAAAACAACAGTGTAAATCAAAACACCACACACTGTCTGTGAATATTCTCTATGATTACACTTCTCCAGCCAGGAGACCAAGGCTTTGGAAGAGCAGAGCAGAAGGCTCTGCTATTGATTTGATGTCCTTCACACAACATCTGATGACTTCAGACCAAGGGGGTGATCTTGCCTGGAAAAGTGATGGCTGCACAAAATGCATGCAGAGAAGGAAGAATGATTCTTGGACATGATGGATACTGTATGTGGCAGAGACAGAAAGGTGAGTGTGAGCAAAAAAACCCCGAACCAGCAGGTAAGATCAGATGAGAGTCTAAGAGGAAGGTTGAAACACCAACATTACCAGGTATCTGCACACAAGCATGCTTATATCCACCACACCTGGCAGAACACAAGAGGCAGAAGTTTAATTGCTGTAAGTTTGTGAGCAGCTCAAGGATACACAGAACAGAAATCCTGCAGAAACACGGGAAACAAGAGCTGCAGGCATGGACAAGGCTCAGTAAGCAGAGCACAGGTCACTGCTGCCCATGGAGAAGCTGAAACAGATGCTTCATCCCTGGCTGTATCCTAATCCTTGTGCTGTTTTCAAGCTGGCAGCACCAGTATCAGTGTAGGCAGCCCAGTACTTCTCAACACAGAATTAGAGCCAGGCCTCTGGTGGAACTGGGTCATGCACACAAAGAGGTGCCTCAGGTTATGCTGCCTTGCCTGCAGCTGCTTCTCCAGAAGGGCAAAGGGCTGCCCTACGTTTTTTATTTACTTACTTCCATCCACATGACCAAGCTCTGATAAAGCTAAGAAAGAGTCAGTCACTTCCCCAGAACTCTCCTCCCAGCTCTCTGCTTCACACTGCAAGAAGGATGAAGGTATCTTTGCTGTATTCAGTAAATCCCAGCAGCAGACCAATCTTTCCACAAACAGTACCTTCCCACAAATATAGTTTTCCCAGAAGCTTGTACCTCATGCTAATTCACACTACTGCCTCAGAAAATGTAAGCATCAAATTAAGCTTCTGCCACAGCTGGGGAACCTTTTAAATGTCACTGAATTTAAAGCTTATAGTAATGTTCCCCCAACCAGAAATTACCATTTATGATTATGGAGGAGAGGAAGAAATAGATTTCTAAGCAGAAAGATAAACTGCTGAAAGCACTTTAAAAGACTGACAAAACCTGAAGAAAAACTCATTGTGTTTGTTCAGTAAGTAACAAAAAAATAAACAACCAAGACTCAGAGAATATAGAAGCACCACGAGCCTTATATCAGTATTTACAGAACATAACCCACTAGAATTCCATAAGTCATTCACTGTCTTCCAGATGAGTGTTGGTTTTGACATTAAGCATCACCACTGAAATTTTTATTGCTCTCAGCAGTTTTGAACAGGATGTCAAATTCAAGCTTGTGCATAATAAACTATTAAGCATTGGAAAATAATTAGGACACATTTAATCCAGATATACAAGGAAGATTTGTAACTTAAGTGTTAATACCATGAAAAATTACAAGGCTATGCTATGGATTGCACTGTTTGTATCTATTTCTAACTCTTTTAATTGAACTGTACTTTTTGTTAATTCAGGTGTTTTAAAATTGCTTACACATTTTATGCTTGACCTCCCTTCTTAATTTCTTGGTAAGAGTAATAAAAAGAAAACCAGCAATTAAGTGGAGATATTCTGAATATTTGTATTAATTGGACTGTTCTGTTTGGGGAAGAATATAGACAGAATTTCAGACAAAGACGGGTTTGTAACAAAAGAATGACTATGTAATAAAGCCTTAACAAACAGCTGATGTTTTAATGGGAGGTTTTTATTGCTTGCTTTTTCACCTGCTCTGTACCTTTTCCATCTCATCTATCATCATTTTCTGTTTAATATGAGGTACCGATTTCTGTGGTATTACTGATGACAGTTAAGCTAAGCAAACAGATGCATTTGCAAAGCTGGGGCTTCAGCTGCCAAGGTCACTGTGCAATTTGTACAACCCCTGGCACAGCAGACACACTGTCACCAGGGTTTCTGGGGGAAGCCACCAACAACTAACTCACCAACCTCATGAAACGGGAAGATGGCCACTTGATCATGGTCCTTTCAGCAGATTTTTCTCACCAAATCTCACACAAAAACAGAAAACAAATATTTGTTATGTCAGGAAGTTGGTCCAGCTGTGGCATGAATATTACAATTATTCAGCATGGAAGAGTTTCCACAACAAAAATTTCAAAGCAAACGGGGTAAATGTGAAATCTCCCTTTCCAAGCCCAGGCTCCTTTAGGGAGCAGTACTGATCCAGAGTTTTAGATGGAAACTTGGCAAGTCAGTGTTTGTTTTCAGCATTTGAGGTTCCCTTCTGCAACTCACGCAGAACAACCAGCACAAGAAACCTAAGTGGCTCCTGAGAGTCAAGCTAACACAACTCCTACACTTCACTGCAGAGGAGGGAAACAGAAAATAACAGCTTCTCTTTAGATCATTCACTATTAATCCTAAATGCAAACTAATAAAGGCATTAAGTGCTTAAGTGTTCTTTACATAAGTAAAGTGTTCAGATACATAATACAGCTGAAAAATGTTTACATATGACTGCTACATCTATTTACTGTCTGCAGCTAGCAAAAAGATTATTCTTGAGGTTGGTGTACTCCATGCATAATATGCCTACTCAGACACAATACATAATTTAGGCATGCCACAAGACTCAAGTATTTATGTGTTGTTTACTATTAAGTTCATCATGACCATACCGAATTTTTGTTGGATACTTTAAAAGTTGGAAGAAGATGACATTTAATATTTTGTATAACATAAAGCAATTTTCTTTACCACACGTTCTGCACTGCAGTCTGCTGTTCTTCCAAACATATTCCCTACAAAACTGACGAGCAGTTATTTTCCTAATATATTACTCATTCTCATTTCACTTGCAGCTGTCTGCAATCAGAAATAACTCTTATGAGGCCAACAGATCCTATCAGTCAGGACCATTTAAGTGTTCCTTTAATGTACAGTGATGCTTGCCATGAAGAAAGTGAGCTGTTGGCCAGCCACATACAAGACAAACTCCTCAGATCAAACTGTTTCTAATCTAATATTAGCAGACAACCAGATGTGTTCACTCCACATGCAAAGATTTGCAAGATAATGCAGCTGCAAAGAATTAACAGACACTATTTCAACATATTAAATCAACAGAGGTTTTACCACTGACAGCAACTGAGAGGAAATTCAGCCCTGTAATGGCCAGGAGGGCTGTCTTTCACAACAAGCTATCAGACAGACCCTTTGTGAGGAATATCTTTGTCAGAATGTAGGTGATATTTCCCTACGCATTAACATGAACAAGACATTTTTTGGTCCAATTCCATCGTGAAGTTATTAAATTGCATTTAGATTTGCACTTTGGGTGGAGAAACTGTTAAAACAGAAGGTAAATAATCTTTTACTTTGCTGGCTCAATTAAAAGTCAATTAAAATGTAAGAAAACTTCAGGCATCCAGAATCCCCTACATTTCTGACAAGGCTGCTGCTGTTCTGGTGTGCCCAGCAGGTCTGAGTAAGGCCAGGTGAATTGTTAAGGTTAGCAGTGCATTTTTTTCCTTGACATTAGCAGGAAACTCTCCAGTAATTCTTCCCCTGGCAGTTCAGATTTTGACCCCTTTATTGGCTTTACATGTAAAGCACATCCAGGTGCTTTTCTTCAAAGCTTAGGGGGGAATAAAACTCTATACATGCTTAGGAAAAGTTAGTTTTACCAGACTAAAAAAGTTAATAGACTTGACTCTTGATTAAGGAATAGTTTTAGGTGCACTTCTGAATATTTAATGTAGACTTCCACTCTTCCAGTAGAGAGCAGTGTAGGATATTTTAATAATAAAATAACATCTGTTTTCCTGTGT